GCTGCCACTGCTGGGTCATTTCTTCATTCTCTTTAAAGTGACCATTTCTCACCCCAGGCCTTGCTGGCCTCATTGTCCTTTGCTCACAATGCCTCTGTGCCCTGCTTCTATTCTAGAACCCACTCGTGTGGGTTCAAAACCTCCGCAGCACCTTGGATGCACCCTTCTGCTGCATCCCCTGTGGATGGGAGCTCCTACCTCATATAGGGTTCTTAACATTTTCACTTCTATCATTTCAGCTGAAGCCTTTACTTTTTCACATGTCTGCTATTAATGGCTTTCTCCCTCGACTCCCTCCCTCCTGGCTCCGTCTTCCTTTACCCCAGCTCTCGCAGTGCTGCTGGTCAGTGTTCCTCCAGCTGCTTCTGTCTTTTCCTGCCCTCAAAGCCCACTGGCTTTCCACACCCAGCACCACCTCCCCTTCTGGCTTCATCCTCCTCCCTGCCTTGTATAGACGCTGCCCTCCAGCCAAACCTGCCTGTCTGCTCCAGGCCTTTCTGTTCTGTCGTCCCTTGTGCTTCCTCCGTCTGGAGCCTGTCCTCCCTGTCCCTGACCCATCCCCACGCCTGCAAGCCCCTCCATGGTTCAGGGCTCTGCTTGCAGATCCGATTGGAAGTGCATAGTATGACCTTGGGCAAGTAGCTTAGCCTTTCTGTGTGCTCCTGAACGCCCCCCCCCCCCCTGAGTTTGCATGCAGCACAAATAAAAGAAGTAGGTAAACTGCAGGGGACAAGTTACTCCTCTCTTCCTCTGAGAAGTCTTTCCTGAGCAGCATCACCATTTCAAGGGGTTTGTCCTTCCTTAAACATTTAGAGCACAGAACATTTCTAATTTATAGCCACACACACACAGAGAACCTATAGATACAACGTCAGGGTGTTCTACTGCTTAAAGAAGTTTTCAGGATTATTTTGTTGTTGTTGTTGTTGTTGTTGCAAGGCCAAAATGACCACAAGCTTGGGCACTTGGGTTGATCAATGTAAAAAAATATTTGTGGAATAAATGTAAATGCCACCCATCACAGGTCTTCTCTCGAGGCTCTGACCTGATTTCTAGAATATTCCACCAACATGGGTCTTCTCTTCTTCCTCTCTGCTTGTACTAGTGTCTCTGCCAGTCCCACTAGAACTTGACCATGTCCAGTTCAGCACCTTAGCGGATTTGGGTCTCTTATCACTTTACATGTTTATGTCCTTTATAATTTCTTATGGCGTGCAGGCAACCTTTAAGGGCTCAGCAGAGGCAGTGACTTTGCCTAGAGCTGTGTCTGCAGCCAGGAGGGACATAGTTTGAACTGCCATCAGTACCCGAGGAAATCTGAAGGAAAGGGAATGGCCCGGGATGGGCCTGGAAACTGACGCTGAGGAACAGGGTCCAAGTAAGGATTTGTTAAGAGGAAGCTGGAAGCTCTCGGCCTTTGTAGGTCACGTGAATGGCTTCGCTGAGAGATGTGTAGGGAATGAACTGCTTACCTCTCTCCCATGGCATCTCTCACACGAGATTCCTTCTCAGCAGAGCCCGTGTCATGTGCTGGAGGGAGGAGGGAAGGAAGCATCTGCACTCTCCTCACCCACAGGAGGACCGGCCTCACGGGAGAGGGATGCCGCGTTAGTCTCCTGGGGCCGCCATAACAAGTCACCACAAATTGGGCGGTTTAAAACAACAAAGATGTGTTCTCTCACAGTTATGGAGGCCAGACGTCCAAAGTCAGTGGACACAAGGCCATGCCCCCTCCGAAGGCTCTGGGAAGCGTCCTTTTCTGCCTCTCCTAGCTCCTGGGGGTTGCGGTCCTCCTGGGTGTTCCTTGGCTTGTAAAGACATCACTTAGACCTCTGCCTCCATCTTCACATGGCCTTTTCCAAAATTACTATTATTTCACTTTACAGTAAAAGTTTGTATTCAGTATTATTCTGTATTCACATGCTCTTCTTACGAGGACATCAATCATATTGGATTCAGGGCCCACCCTAACCCAGTATGACCTCATCTTAACCAGTTACACCTCAGAAGCCCTGTTTTCAAATGAGATCCCATTCACAGGCACTGGGAGATTTGGACTTGAACATATCGTTTTAGGGGCAGGGTCACAATTCAACCCACATCAGAGCTTGTGCTGTTACACAGTTGAATCTGGTAGGGAGGAAAAAACATGTGGAAAAGTGGGCTTAACACATCCAAACATTTTGCAAACCAGGTATAAAAACATATCTCAATAAAGCCTAGAAATAATTTATTTTATACTATATATACACCCATATATGAGGTCTGTTCAGAAAGTATCCAGCCATGTAATATGAAAACTAGAGACATTTACTGAAGAAGATACAAGAAACACTGCACGCAGGACAATGACACCTCAGTGCCCTTCAAAGTAGGCACCTTGGGACCTCACACAGTTCTCCCAGTCACCATCCGCTGCCTTATCATATTTTCCTGAATCTCATCGACAACTTGAAATCTCTTTACTTTCAAAGGTGATTTTAGTTTTGGGAAAAGCCGGAAGTCACAGGGTGCTAATTCTGGGCTGTTGGGGGGCTGAGTCACCCAGGTGACTTTGTCACCTGGGATTTGATGTTTCACAAAAAAAACTCTGCATGAGATGTGATGCATGAGCAGGCACATTGTCATGATGAAGCTGCCAATCACCAGTTGCCCGTAGCTGCAGCCTTCTGAATCATTCAAATAGATTCTGTGGAGGAATGTTCAAGCTTCACACTAAATTTGATGCAGATTCATTGCTCTACTCACTCATTCAGTCATTTTGAATATACTGGCCACAAAGTAGCTGTGCTCACTCAGCAGCATCTACCGCCCCCACGGACTAGTACAGTGAAGTCGTCATTGCTCATGTGTGCACATCCAGTCCACTCTCCTTGGCTGCCAGGTTACAGTGATAGTGTGCAAATTGTTCTCATATTAACAATGGCTGGACTTTTTCTGGACAGACCTCACTGTAAGTACATGTGCATATGTACATATGTATTTTTTTCAGCTAAAGGCTCAAATATGAAAAAACAATAAAACACTTAGAAGAAAATATAAGAGTCTGCCAGGGATAGAAGAAACCTTAAATAAACAGAGAAGTTATAAAAGATAAGATGCACACACTTAACTATGTAAGGCAATAAACAATCATAACATATAAGACCAGGAAATACAAATTAAAGTAGTGATCACATGTCACACACCCATGAGACCAACAAAACGATTAGAGGCGATAACCCCCGTTGTTGGTGGGGACGCTTTTATAATTGTCAGTGGAAAGATGAACTGTTAGCGCCTTTTTAGAAGGCAAGATGGCACCCTTATTTGCATCCTGATTAGAGCGACTGCAAGAAAGCTTTTCTGTTGTGATACAATAGGGAAATGTGAGCAACAACCATTTGATGTTATTAGGGAATTGTCTTTAAAATTTTCAGTGTGATTTATAATATTTTTAAAGAGTCCTTTTTCCTTAGAGAGTCATGCTGAATATATACTGTGAAAATGACGTTAACACCTGAGAGTTTACTTCAGATAATCCAAAGGTCCCAGGTGTCAAAGCAAGGGTCAGCACGCTACAGCCACAGCCAAAGCCAGACCACCACCTGGGTTTTAAATAAAGTTTTATTGGAACACAGCCACACTCATTCAGTTACTTTTTTTTTTTAATCGCTGAGGCTGCTTTTGCGCTACAGCAGCAGAGTTAAACCTGCAGCAGCTAAAATATTTACACATAAAATCATTGCAACCTCTCATCCATAAAGAAGCATGTTTGGCTAAAAGTTTGTGATGGTTGGTTCTGGGGCCTTATGATATGAAGGCTTATTATACTAGTCTTCATACTTATCTGTGTTTGGACTTTTCCGTAATGAAAAGTTTAAAAAAAATTGACCTAGTAATCTCACTCCTAGAACTCTATCCCTTGGAAATAAAAACATCAATTAATAAGGATATGGATATAAAAGAATGTTTACTAAAATAGTTTACAGTGATTAAAAAACTGAAAATAAATTGCCTTCCAACATGGAAAAGCTTGTATAAACTACATCCACCCACACTGTGGAATATGATGTCTTTTTGAAGAATGAACTAGAATAGAGTTTTGCCATTCCACTTGGTGAATTTTTCATGAGATATTTTCAAGTGAGAAAAACAATGTAAAAAAGTCTGTATGTGACAGTTTGGTTTTGTAGAACCATGGCAAAATTTACCCCTTCAGTGTGTGGGGGTGAGTGTGTCGGGGGGTGCATAACAGGTTATTAATGTGGGTTGGGGTGAAGTGATGTCTACGGAAGGGAAGCAAAGCAAAGCACAAACAGGACAAACCTATACTCACAAACACAGCCTATGTGATATGATCCTGTGTGTGTTTCTATCAATTCTATTCGTATGTATATCTGCTTTGATAAATTAAAAAGAGTTCTGCTTTTTTTTAATAACTGGAAAGGAGTACATATTTTTAATGTCCTTTGATGTAAGTACGGAAATAAAAGGGAATTTGGTTAGGCGCTGTGAAGTGCCCGAGAGCGGGAAAACAAGAGACCAGAGCGACCTGGGCCAGCCAGGGAAGGCTCCGCGGAAGGTTCTGGTGGTGAGAGGGTGGCCGGATGGTCTTTGGGCTACAGTCACTCCCTGATCTCAGCGCTTCTTCCTCCTCCTCCCAGAGAAATAATGTTTCCCTGGGGGATGAAGAAGCATCCCTTTGTGCAGGCTTTAATTGCCATGTTGTTGTGCCAAGTGAAGAGTGGCAGGCGGGCGCGGCAGCTGGGCACAGCCAATGCCAGGCAGCACAGCCCACTGCCTTAGGACAGTCTGAGCCAGCTGGCCTGGGAGCACTGCCCACCTCTGCCCCCCGCTGGGGGCCAAGCACTGGGACAGTGGGGCAGAAGGGTCTGTGGAGAGGGGGAGAGGAGTCACTAGAAGGAGAGAGGGGTGGGGCCTCTGGGAAGGTCTCGGCCACTCTCTGAAGCTTATTCATCTCATCCTCCCTTTCCCTTCCCCTCCCTCTTGTTTTTCAGACTGTCAGCATCAATAAGGCCATTAATACGCAGGAAGTGGCTGTAAAGGAAAAACACGCCAGAAATATCCTTTTGGATGTTGCTTGAAGACCAGCCCTGAGGGGGTTCAAATTGTGGAGACTGAGGTCAGGGTGAAGTGTCCTTGCTCAGCTGCAGGAAGGGGAACCCCCACGCAGGCCAGGCCCCCGCAGGGTTGAGCACTGTCAGTTGGCAGCAGCTGGCCCCAGACACCAAGGCCCATTAGGGCGGAAGGGGCCGGAGGGGCCGTCTAGCCCAGTGCTTCGACTTACCAAAGATCCCAGTCCCTCCTAGGACTTCCACTTCCCAGACCGCCAAGTCCTTTCTTCAGAGACACTTCCTCAGAACATCAGAGGGATTTTCTTTTTTCTTTTCTTTTTTAAAAATCCTCACTCAAGGATATGTTTATTGATTTTAGGGAGAGGGAGAAAAACATTCCTCGGTTGCCTCCTGTATATTCCCCAACTGGGAATCCAACCCGCAGTCTTTTTCTGGTGTACAGGACGATGCTCCAACCAAGGGAGCCAGCGTGCCAGGGCTACCAGAGGGCTTTGCAGCTGCGCCGTAAAATCACTCCAGGTCCTGCACTTAGTGTAGGGCCTGTAGGGCCACACTGATCACCCCTTTGGGGACATGATAATCTTCTCTTCTCCGAGCACAAAACAAAACAAAGGTCTCAGCTTCCGTGGTTGGCCTTAAGCCATCACAGGGTTCGCCCTAACCCAGAAGGGGAGGCGATGGGGACCCCAAGGAGGTTTAGGGAACCAGTGACCGGAAGGTTTTCAGTGCTGAGTTGGCAGTGCCCCGGCTGAGCTCTATCACGGGTCTGTGGCTTTGGAGAGAAGTGCAAGCAGCACTGTGGCGGGGGCACCCCTGGGGATCTGCCCCTGAGGTATAGAGTCCAAGAGCTGGAGGGCAGTCAAAGGAGAGGCTGCCAGTGGGGTCGAGCCTTTATCTGTGTGTGTGACAGGAGCAGGACACCTGTCAGGGCGAGTGTAGGCTGGGCTTCCGCCTGGGACGGGCAGCTCTTCTTGCCTGGGCTCGTCGTGATGGCCACACCACAGCCAGTCGGTCCTGAACAGTTCGTCTTGGCACCATCCCACCTCGGCTCCTGCAGGACACCCCCTAGGTTATATGCCCAGAGCTAGCAGGCCCATGGGAAATGTTGCTCACAGCAGGTACTGCGCTTCAGAGGAGGGAAAGCAGCCTGTCTTTGGTGGGGAGATGCTTTGTGTGGAATCAGAGCTTTGCTGCGGGGTGGGGGCTATCGAGCCTCTCCCTGGCACCCCAGAAGCCTGCCCGGCAGCGAGCCAGCTCAACCTGGCCCCTTCATTCCCAGAAAGACATAGTCCCTTTGCTTTATTGCGTCAAGGAAAATCCATTTGATTTTTTTCAGAATTACCTAGTCCCAATTCTTACCATCACCTGCTGAGAACTTGTGATCAGTCTGGTGCAAGATAAGAAGGAAGAGAGAGACAGTTGTAGGCCAGTGTGCTCCTCCAGACGGGGGATTGCACAGGGAGGACCGGGAGGCCGCCTGGGGCAAAGGAGGAGGAGTATGGGAGGCAGGGTCCTGCCTCTGGACCGTGAGGCCCCCATGAGCCTTAGTTCTCTTGTCCGTCAGATGAGAGAGTTGGTTGAAGAAGATATCAAAGGTCTCCTGTTCCAGCTCTTAATGTTCTTTGCCTCTCTCTTTTTTTAAAAAAAGATTTTATTTATTTGTTTATTTATTTTTTAGAGAGAGGGTAAGTGAGAGAGAAAGAGAGGGAGAGAAACATCCATGTGTGGTTGCCTCTCACGTGCCCCTTACTGAGGACCTGGCCCACAACCCAGGCATGTGCCCTGCCTGGGAATCGAACCTGGGACCCTTTGGTTCACAGGCCTGCTCTCAATCCACGGAGCTACACCAGCCAGGGCTGATTCTCAATTTTTCAGTGGTAGATAAATGCTGGAAAGATCAACTTCTTACAGTAGAGTTGTAAAGCCTAGACATTTATCCTTTCTCTATTCTTTTAAAGAGCATCAGTCACCCTAGTGCCTTAGACTTCAGAAGTGCTGTCAGACATTCGTTTATCCCAGGTACCCAACTGGTGAACAGGTGGGCCCCCTAGCACCACCACTTCCAGAGGCTGGGGCTGAGTCTTGTTTTTCTTTATACCCCTGAGTGCCTTTTACAGTGCCCAACACATAATAGGGACATTAAAATGCTTATGCAGTCAGAGAAGGACAGAAAAGGCCTCTCTCCCAGCCAGAGTGTGCAGCTAGCTCCACGCCTGCTCCTGCTACGTCCCGGCAAACCGCCCTCCGGTAGAGTAAGTGCTGTCAGTGTGAGAGAGAAGTGATCGCACGAGGGAGGGGGTGCTACTGTCTCTCTTCTTGGCTCTTTTCTAGTCCAGGGGGCTGTGTTTTAGGTGAAGACAGCTGTTTCAGAAATGCAAGTCCAAGAGCTGATTTCAGCCACCAGACCCCAGAGTCTATGTTCAAGGCCCCCCCCCCCCCCCCAAATGCAGGTTTCAGGCTAGGGAAGGAACTTAATGGTATCTTCTAGTTCTAGCTCAGAAAAAAAGCAACGTGTGTCTGGGTGAGTCACAGTTTGTGGCCTGAGGCAAGTCTTTCTGCCCTAAACGCCACTGTGAGCCTCGATGAAGAACTTCATGTTGGAAGCAAAGAGCTGCCCTTGGGGTTGATGATGCCCACTTCCTGGGTATGTGAGGCCTGTTTGAACAGACACTGACAACAGAAATGTGGGCACCCTCTCCTCGCCCCAGAGACTTCGCTGTTCACAGAGGTCTGGAGTGCTGACTTAGAGGCGCGTGAGGCCAGGTGGGCAGTTATTACATACTGTGGCAGGTGGTCCCTGGGTAGTGTGGGTGCCATTTGGAGTCAAATCTGGGGAGGAAGTGGCCCCAGGATTCCACATACAGGGAGTTCAGATTGGTAGGAGATGAAAGCATCCTTGGACAAGGCCAGGAAGGTTTACGGAAGAGTCGGGGTATCAGAGTCATTTTAAGTTTAGGGAAAAGGCATTTTACATGAAGCCTGCTGCATTCAGCGAAAGAGCAGAGTGCCCGGTGGAGAGGAGTCGGGTGCTACCGGCCACATTCTCCCTCTTCGAAGGCGCACCAGGGCCCCTGCTGGCCCAGAGAGCACTTGTGCAAGCTAGAAAAAGACATCCCTCCCAAGAGACATTTCCATCTCTGGGGAAATGATCTAACAAAATGTATTTGATTGGAATGAGACACTTCATTGCCATCTGTCAAAAAATTGCCCAATAAATGTACAGATCTGTGGTATCTTAGTTTTAAGCAGTGTCCCCTCCCAGGTAGAGCTACTGCCCCAGACAATTACACAACCCCCCACAGAAGCCTGTTGCAGGCTTGACCTCGAGGATTGGCTGGTTGCCCCAGGCAGGGCCGGTGCCTTTGTTTTCCATGACCCTCCCTCACCTTGCATACTGGGCACCCACCATGAGAAAGGGGCGCAGACCTTCTGGTCTGTCGTCAACCGGCTGCCCCTGTCCAGCAACGCCGTGCTCTGCTGGAAGTTCTGCCACGTGTTCCACAAACTCCTCCGAGATGGACATGCAAACGTGAGTTCCTGGGGTTACGGGGGTGGCCAGAGGGCCAGAGACCCACATGGGGAACACGTGATTGCCTGGGCCACAGAGGCCACGGTCCACTCCTGCACTGAGGGGGGGAGCTGCCCCCTTTCCCTGGCCTTTTGGTTACTGGTTAAAGGTGGGGTTGTCTCTCTCTGAGCAGCCTCTCCATCCCACCTGGGACCCATCCTTTACCGTCACCTGTGTCCTCCCCTCGCATAGGCTGTTCTCTTTCCTCCCCAGGTCCTGAAGGACTCTCTGAGATACAAAAACGAATTGAGTGACATGAGCAGGATGTGGGTGAGTTTGGAGATTTGCATGAGGGCTACTTGGGCCTCTTTAGTCTTCCTCAGAGGCCACAGAACACGGACTAGGAATGGAACAAATTCATCTCTTTCAACTTGTTTAGGATTTCTCTCAGCATCAGGGAGGGGTCAAGGGTGCCCCCAAACAGTACCATGATACCCACAGTCTTACCTGGGGTCCCTAGAAGCTGTAGAGAAGTTCTAGGGCCTGGGAACTGCTTCTGCCAGTGGCACCCTGTCACAGCGTTCTCCGGCACTGGGGTTCCCTCAGCAGTGACACTGCCACAGTTCCCACCTCTCATTTAAACCGGTCCTGTTGGGGTCACCGTATGCTGAGAACCAGCATTCCCACTTCTCAGTGCCCTAGGCTGAGAGGTAGGTGACAATATTCCAATCGATTTGATTGGAAGGAGTGTTTTTACGCACATACCAGAATGCCTCTAGATTCCAACACCCAGTGAGACATATATGTGTATGGGCGGGAGGTGATCTGCATTTTGAAGGCACTGCCAGGTTGATTCCGGTGTGTCCCTTTGCCCTCACCAGTGGGGGACTGCGACGTTAGCCCTTTCCTTCAAACTCTGACCTGCATCTGTGCACTCACAACATAGCCGCTGTGTGGTCCAGTCTGCCCATTACGGATGAGGGGCTCCAGGCCCAGAGAGGGAAGTGGCGGTGCCCAGTCACAAGGCCGGTTCAATGGAACAGGCTGAGAGTGGTCCCCAGACCTGGATACCGGAGAGCTTCTGTTGTGTCCCTGAACACGTAGTGTCAGGTCTCTCTCTTTTTTGTTAGAATTTGCCTGGTATGCCTTTTTCCATCCTTTTATTTTTGACTTTTCTACATTCGTATGTCTTAAAAATATCACTTGTAAATAGCAATTATTTGGATTTTGTTGTCGGTTTGGTAAAGACAGCGGTTTTTGTCTTTCAGCTGTGCGTGTGCTCCATTTACGTTCTAATGCGTGATACGTTTAGATTTACGTCTCCACCTCATTGGTGCCCTTTCTCCATCTGTTTGGTGTCTCTCACCATGTCTTCTGTTGGACCGATTATTTTTTCTCATTCCAGTCTTCTCTAGTTGCCAGTTGGGAGAGTAAAACAATCTCTGCTTTTATATTTTATTTTTTGGTATATTGTCTAATAACGACAAAATGCCTGTTTAGTTTGTCGAGGTCTGAAGTTCATGTCTCTCTCAGTTTCCCGTGTAACAGTGACCGAAGAACGTGTTAACTCTGCTCCTTCTCAACTTACATGTTCCTGCCATGTATTTACTTTTGGTCATTTGTTCTTTTTAAACCCTATAACATAAACACAGTTTTCATTTTCACCAATATCTTTATTGACTTGGATATTTTGAGTATGTTGACTTTTTCCCACTATTGGCTTCCAGTGAGTGGAGGTCAGAGGTGCTGCTAAACATCTTCCAATGCATCAGACAGCCCCACAGCAAAGAATTATTTGGCAAAAAAAATAGTACCAAGAAACTTTGGAAACCATTTTTGACATATACAGTCGATCACAGCACCTTCTCCATACACTGCATAAATCTTTTCTTGTGTTTCAGTTGTGTTTTTATTTTTCCTGGAATAATAAAGAATAATATGCCCAAAATGTTGCTTATTTAATATTAAAATGGCTGCATAAAAATTCACCATTTTTTTATAAGTTTCTTTTTTTTTTTTAGTGCACGCTGATATGACATCCGTCACAATACAACCTAACAAAATTGTTTTGAATGAAATTCAAGACAACGATGCCCTACTAGAGCCATTGTATAGAAAAAACTAAACGAATTTTTTGGCCAACCCAATATTTTATTTTAATTGTTTTAGTCTGTGTTTTTCATTTCTTCTTACATCTCGTATCTTCCATCTGAGATAACTTTCTCTCTGCCTGAACAATTTCCTTTACAACTTCCTTTAGTGAAAAAGTCTGTTGGTGGCCAACAGCTGTTTTTAGTTGTTTGAGCATGTCTTTATTTCACCCTCATTCATGGAACGTATTTTCTCTGCGTTTAGAATCTCGGTGTGGCCATTATTTTCTGTCCTCACATAGAAGGTACTATTCACACTCGCCTTCCACTGACTTGCAGCTTTCATTTCGAGGCCGTCTGCCGTCAGACTCAGCGGCGCCCCTGGGAAGCTGGACTGTGTTTTTATATCTGGCCATTTTAAAGGTCTCAGTGCATGTCTGGGTGGGGTTCTCTGGACTCCTTAGACCTGCAGGTTAGTATCTTTCGTTAGCTATGAAAAGTTCTCATTGTTTCTTCCATTATGGTCTCTGCACCCCTGGTCCGTCTTTTCCTCTGACGCTTTGGTTGGAAGTGTGTTAGGCTTTCTCACTTTATCCCCGCTCTCACTTTAAAGCCCTGTTTCATTTTTTTCCTACGCCTTTGTCTCTCTGCTTCATTCCATGTTAATGTTATAGGATCTGGCTTTCTTTACTTGTTACCTCTTCAGCCGGTTCTAGTCTTGAGTGGCATTCCTGTTTTTCTTTTTTAAAGATCTTATTTATTTATTTTTAGAGGGGAAGGGAGAGAGAGGGGGAAAGAAACATGGATGTGCAAGAGATACACCGATCAGTTGCCTTTCACACACCCCAACTGGGGAAGCAGCCCCCAACCTAGACATGTGCCCTGATGGGAATCAAACCTGCGACCTTTTAGTTTGCTGGCCAGTGTTCAATCCACTGAGCCACACCAGCCAGGGCTGCATTCTTTATAATATCTTGTGCCCTGTATGTATTTTTGAATGGTCTCTTATTTATTTAGACATATTACACATAGTAGCTTCATATATCATCTTTTATGCTTTCATTATTAAAGCCCTTAAGAGATCTGTTTCTGGCATCTGTTGTTTTTGTTTAATTTTGTTCATGCTATGTGGTTTTTTGTGCTTAGTTGTTTCTTACTGTGAGCTGCTTGTTTTCCTTGGCATTTTATTTGTGAGAATTTTTTTGAAGTCTAATGAAAGCAGGTTCCTCCAGAGAGAACTTGCATTTGCTTCCGTACGGATCGCTCTAAAATCTCAGCTTAAGGTTTTTCCAGTTAAAGGCAGAGCCCCTTGACAAGTAGCTCGTGGGTCCAATTTTTTTCCTCCCTCTGATCACGACAGTGGTCTGAGACAGCAGAGTTTCTTTGTAGTCCTCAGGGAGGACTCCTTCAGTGTAGGGGTACAAATGTGCCATTCCCCTGAACCAAGGCGGCAGCCTTTTGGCTTCTCTGCTAGATCTTCAACCTGGGCAGACCGGAGCCCTGCCTCCGTTCACTGCCTGGCCCTGGAGGCCCAGAAGATCAAGGCTCAGGTGCACCTGGTCTGGCAAAGCCCCTTCTCCCCAGCTCCATTATCCCAGTATTCCATGTACTCTCCAGGAATCTGTATTTATTCAGTCTCTGGCCTGAGGATTCCTTTCTCTCTTGTTAGTTCATTAATGCCTTCAAAATTTTAAAAAATATTTCCCCAATATTGTTTGTTTTTAGTGGGAAGGTCAACCCAGGAAGCTAGCCTGCCTTGTCAGCCAAAATAGAATTCCTTTAGGTCTTTTTTCCTATGTAATCTATCTCTCCCATTTGCCTAAGAGTTTCTGAAGTTAGAAACCTCTTTTATTTTATTATTTTTTAAATTAAGACCTTTTTTTTTTTTTTTACAGCAGTTTTAGGTTCACAGCAAAATTGACGGGAAAATACAGAGATTTCCCATACACCCCTCACTACTCTCCAACATACACAGCTTCCCATGTATCAAAATCTCCCGCCAGAACAATCAGTGAATCTATATTAATATGTCATAATCACCCAAAGTTTCTAGTTTATATTACAGTTCACTTGTGCTGTGCATAGTCTATAGGTTTGGCATAGACTATATATGACATGTATCCACCACTGCAGTGTCGTCCAGAGCATTTCCACTGACGTGACAGTCGTCCATCTACCCCTGTCCGTCTCGCCCACCCTCCTGCCTGCAGCCCCTGGCAACCTCTCATCTTCTTACTCTCTCACAGCTTTGCCTTCCCCAGAATGTCATACAGGGGAAATCAGAGAGTGCGTAGCCTTTTCAGATTGGCTGTTTTCACTTGATAATGTGTATTTAAGGTTCCTCCATGTCTTTTCATGGCTTGATAGCTCATTTCTTTTTAACACTCAATAATATTCCATTATTAGGATGTATCACAATTGATTTATCTATTCACCTCCTAAAGGACGTCTTGGTTGCTTCCAGTTTGGGACATTTATGAATAAAGTTGCTATAACCATCTGTGTGTAGATTTTGAGTAGAAATAAGCTTTCAGCTCCTTTGGGTGAAAACCGAGGAGCACCACTGCTGAGTCATGTGGTAAGAGTATGCTCAGCTTTGTTAGAAGCTGCCAGACTGTCTTCCAAAGTGGCTGCACCACTTTGCGTTCCGCCAGCTCTGAATGAGGGTTCCTGTTGCTCCACGTCCGCACCAGCACTTGCTGCTGCCAGTGTCCTGGACTCCGGCCATTCCAGCAGGTGTGTAGTGGTGTCTCATTTTTCTAATTTGCATTTCCCTGACGACATACGAAGCGGAGCATCTTTTTATATGCTTATTTGCCACCTTATTTTTGGGGGGGGACCCATTTTTTAATTGGGCTGTTTTCTTATTATTGAGTTTTAAGAGTTTTTTGTATATTTTGGATGGTAGTCCTTTATCAGATGTGCCTTTTGCAAACATTTCACCCCAGTCTGTGGCTTATCTATTCATTCTCTTGATGCTGTTCTTTGCAGAACAAAAGTTTTAAATTTTATTGAAGTCCAGCTTATCAGTTATTTTTTAATAGATTGTGTGTTTGGTGTTGTGTCTAAGTCATCGCCATACTCAGAGGTCACCTAGGTTTTCTCCTGTGTTATTTTCTGGAGTTTTATGGTTTTGCATTTTACACTTAAGTCTGTGATCCATTCATCTTTTACTTTTTGATCCTGTGCATTTTCTTTTTTAATTTATTTATTTTTAGAGAGAGGGGAAGGGAAGGAGAAAGAGAAGGAGAGAGATATTAATGTGTGGTTGCCTCTTGAGCTCTCCCTACTGGGGACCTGGCCTGCAACCCCGGCATGTGCCCTGACCAGGAATTGAAGTGGTGTCCCCTGGTTCACAGCCCGCACTCGGTCCACTGAGTTACACCAGCCAGGGCTGATCCTGTGCATTTTCATGTGAAGGATAGTAGGAATAGTTTTGGTAGCAATAGTCTTACCACAGTCATGATGGTGAGAATAGTTTTGCTTCTTTGTTTGCTTTTCAATATTTTCCAATTTCTCTATAATAAAGTGTCATGTAAAAATTAATATGATTATGAATTATCATAGCAAATGAATACATTATGAAACACTCCTCTCTGGCATTTGGCATTTTTAACCTCTGATTGCTCAACTCCCTCTGGTGCCAGGTGTGGCTTGTTTCAACAGGGTTCCTTCAGGCCATAGACACAACGAAAAAAGACAAAAGTCAAATCTCCTGTGGGACCTGTGCGGCTGTTCTGTTGAAGGCTTGTGTCCCCGTGTCCCTTCCCTTTTGTGTATAACCAGGAGTTCCCGTTGTCACTCTGCTGCCCCCCAGCTTCCTCCCAGGCACCCAGGCCATGGCCTCCCGGGCAGACTCCAGGGCAGACTCCAGGGCGTGCTTATTCTTCCCCTGCCAGGACTGGTCCCATTTCAGATCCCAGCCCCGCCCCCACCCCCACCATGTATAATACTGTAGATGCTCTCAGTCTGCTGGAGCCCGTCTGGAGGAGACGTTTCTCCCCTGTGCCTAGAGAGACAGAGGAAAGGAAACAGCGTAGAGCCAGACTGCAGTTACTAAGAGTAGGAGACTTCAGATTCTTAAGTAAGAAGCCCTTGTTCTGAATTTGTCCAAAGAAAGTCCTCATGTTTGTACACAAGATTGAACTGTAAGAATGAACAGTAGGGGGTTGGTTTGATAAATTAGGGTACATACTTACTAGGTACTGGGCAGTCACTAAAAATAATGATAAAAAAGAAAATAGAAAATATGGCATTGTATTAAGAAAAAAGGCAAGTTGGTTCCATTTTCTATTTCAACATAAAGGTGGAGCAGAGAAGTTTTAGGGCCGTAAAGCTGCTCCATATGAGATTATAATGTGAGTGCCTGTCGTTAATACGTTTGTCAGAGCCATAGGATGCACCGTCCCGAGAGTGAACTTAAATGTCAATAACGACGTGTCTGCGTACGTTCACTGGTGGTGACCAGTGTCCTACCTGGGTGCGTGGTGTTGGTGGTTGGGGGAGGTTGTGTGTGTGCAAGGGGCATAGAGGGAATCTGTGTGCTTTCTATTTAATTTGCTGTGTAACTGCTCTAAAAATAAAGTCTATGTAAATTGGAAAAAAGGAAATAACATTTTGTCCCCCAAAGTGTTAGCCATGAGTATATCTGGTGTTTACATTGAGGGTGATTTGTTCATATATGTACTTCTCTATATTTTCCAAGTTGTTAACAATGGACGTGTGTCATTTTCATAATCAGAACAATGTATATTTTTTAAGATGAAGCCCTGGCTCTAGGTCTCTCAGCGCAGGTGCTTAGTGCTGACCGCTGCTTTCTCCCCTCTCCCGGGAAGGGCCACCTGAGCGAGGGGTACGGGCAGCTCTGCAGCGTCTACCTCAAACTGCTGAGAACGAAGATGGAGTACCACACCAAAGTGAGTCTTGCCGGCCGGTGGCCCCGCGCTCCCCCGCCCTCCCCCGTCTGTCCCCTGGGCACCTCGACGGCCGGCACAGCCAGGCCTCTCCGGCGTCTGCACCACCTCCTGGCTGTGTGAGAGGACACACCTTATAAGGCCCCACGGTCGGTCGGGCTTCGGGAGTGGCCCCTGTCTTCTGCGCCCCTGGTCCCCCGTTTTGCAAATAGAAGGAGGGACCCTATCCAGTAGCGCTATGAAAATGTTTTAGAAGCACTGACGTAACTGTCAATAAAAATAGGTCCTTCCATGTATATAGTAAGTTTCCACGCAGAGCCTTCTTTCCATCAGTATATGACTCTAGTCAGTATTTCTGATGCACCAAAGTGGGTAGTAAACCTGCGTGTGTGGTACCACGTAGCACGTAAGGGCGAGGGCACAGGGTCTGCACTCGGGGCATGCAGATGCGCTGGGGAGAGGAGGTCTGCGCTCTGCGCCCGGCCGGCCGTCAGACGGGCAGCCTCTCGCTCTGCGGGAGACGCTCCCCCCTCTGAGCTGCGCCGGCCGGCGCAGGTTAGTGTCTCCATCATCACATATGGACTCAAGGGGCAGCTTGGATTTACTGAAACCGTCCTAGTCTCTGAAACCTTTTCTCTATGTCAGTAATCCTCACAGCAATCTGCAAAGTAGTAATTTTTATATCCTAGAAAAACAAAACTCCGGTAGTGGCTGAATCCCTTGCCTGTGTCACATAGCTTTTCATTGGTGAGATGGGGATTTGAACCCATGCCCACGTAGTACTGTACTAGTACAGTACTAGTACATGCTACTCAGTGGCTACCCTTCCTCCCCTCGAGTCACACTGATTGCCTGCCAAGGGCCAGAACCAGTAGGCTCTGAAGAGAGAAAGATGAGTAGACCTTGCCCCGCCTCTGGGAGTCGTCATTTGGTTGGGAGAGAAGTGGTACAGGGAGAGAGGACAGACTGCAGTGAGAACTGAGAGCCAGGGGGTGTCTAGCCCAGACTCAACCCGGTAGGCGCCTCAGGGGGTGTGACAGCTGAGCCCAGTCGCAGGGTGTTACAGTTATCCGTGCTGCACGGCACGTCACCCCAGACTCAGTGGTTTGTAACAACAGCCCTTTAGTATCTCCACCCTTTGTGTTGGTCAGGAGTTCAAGAAGGGCTTGGCGGGACGGTTCTGGCCAAAGGTCTCAGACAGTTGCAGCCAGGGCCTGGCTGGAGCTGCCACAGTGGAGGCCGGCCTGCCATCCCTCTCTTCATGGAGGCTGTGGCCCAGGGAGGGCTTCGTCACAGCCTGGTGGAGCCCCCAAGGGAGCAGGGGGAGTGCACGGCATTTGTAAGGTCTGGCCTCAGAACTCACAGGCATTCCTTCCGACGTCCTGTATTGGCTGAGGCAGTCACAGAGGTCCCTAGATTCAGTGAGAGGGAACAGAGATCACACCACTCAAGGGAGGAGTGTCGAAGTCACAAAGTCCCATTTTGAATGGGATACATTATGGCAGCGATCTTTGGAAAATAGAGTCTGCCACAGTCCACCCTTCCGCCCCACAGTTCACAGCCCTCCTGCCTGCTGTGGAGTCCAGTCCCGCTCCCCCAGACTGTCTGCTGCACAGACTGTGGGACGGGGAGGGGGCCGATGAAGAAGAGTCTGCATTCTAGGCAGAGGAATCGTCTGGAGACACAGGGCATGAGGCCCAGGACACTGTGGTGTCTGTGGAACTAGCAGTGGATGGACATTGGTTCACGGAGTGGGCGGCGTGGAGAGCAGCAGGGGCCTGAGTGGGTGCGTGAGACCATCCCGGTGACAGAGTGTGGAGGGTGGCAAGAGCCAGTTAGGACTCTTACCTGTGGGACAGACAAAGGATGGAACTTCCTGAAGACCAGGAAGAGAAGAGGGGGCAATAGCTAGAAGGAGCTAAGGGACCAGGGGAAAGCCTCAAGCAACAGGAAGAGGGGCACAGGGGTGTAAGGGCGTGGAGTGGGTCTCTGGGAGCTCTGGACTGTGGGCTCCAAGAAGGCAGAGGGCAGAGGACACAATGGCAGGGGACAGGTGTGTGTGTGTCTCCTTGTGTCCTGTGTCTGGCCCAGCATCTGGCCTGGAACAGGGGCTCAGTCAGGATTTATTGGATGAGTCAGAGAATGAACCAGAACCAAGAGCAGATCAAATAGACACAGGAAGGGCTGGTCCTGACTCATGGAAGAGGCGACCCTTCTGTGTTGAAGCTGGAGGAATGGAAGGACAGCTGAGCATAGTTGAAGCAGGAAGCTGAGGGGGTTACCAACGATGAAAGAAGGAAGACAAGTGCGGGGGCTCTTGTCGGGCTCCAGGTTTGAAAGCTAGGCAGTTATTGATGGGAAGGGGGGCTGTCCAGGCACTAGCGGGGACTGTTAACGGGGCCCTAAGGCTAGCGAGCATGACCCACCTAATAGTGACCCATCTGTGAGTCCTTCTCCAGGGACATTTGGCAGCCAGTCCTAGGCACAGAGAATGTGACAAAAATCCAGGCTCATTGGGTTGCAGGCCAGTTCCCAGCAGGGGATGCACCAGAAGCAACCATACATTGATATTTTTCTCCTCTCCCTCCCTTCCCTTCTAAAGATAAATAAATAAATTTTTTTAAAAAATTCAGGCTCACCAGGTTTAACAGGTGAAAGGATGGGCAGTAAGAAAGGCAGGGACCAGCGCGGAGGAGCCAGTGACCATAATTTTCAGACCGAGCGAGAAACTAAGTGCAGCCGGACGGGAGCGTTGGAGGACGTCACAGAGTCTGAGAGGGAAGGGCTGGCGGTGGGCCTGGGGGCAGACAGGGCTGCGAGGGCCCAGGGCAGGTGCTGTAGCTGGAGTGAGGCGCCGGGGTGCAGGGCTCCTGTCTTCAGAGCCTAAAGTGCTCGCACTGGATTCAGAACCCCCCTTGCTGGACCGGCCAGCCGTCTCCCCCTACCCACCCCCACCCTCCCCTTGGCCTTGTGTTCCCTGCACTGCAGACAAACCACACCGAGGAGGAGATAATGGTCCAGACAGCGGACAATGAGTGATACAAAGTGATGTCCCCTCACTTTGGGGCGCATGATGTCATTTTCCTACCTTCCAGTTTATTTGACTGATGTTTTGCTGAAGCTAACATGAGAGTGGGTTTTCCCTGAACCCACAACGGGGGCTTTGGGAAAAGGCCAAAGGACAGTGGGAAGCCTGGGGAGGGTTCTGGTCATGCTGGGGTAACAAATGCTGCACTGCCTGTGTCTTGTGGGTGGTCGGGGCCCACCGTGCCCAGCCGCTGGGCCGCACTGTACTACAGGAGAGCGTCCCGGACACGGATTGTTCGGGGACCTTCTTCTGGCTGCCAGGGGTGAGACGGAGGCTTCACCTCCGATGATGGGTAATGGATGTTCTTTGCCACAGTCGGGGGTCTGTGTTTGTGTGTGAGGTTGTATGCACTAACTCCACACCCGGGAAGCGTGTAGGCACGAATTGTCTGCGTTCATGCCACACAAGCAGAGTCAGGCCTGCTGCTCCCCGAGCGCAGTGTGGACAGCTTGCTGGAGTTGGGCTGTCCAGAGTTTGGGGGGTGCCCTGTTCTGACTTCCTTTCTCTGCTTCCCTTCCAGAATCCCAGGTTTCCGGGCAACCTCCAGATGAGTGACCGGCAGCTGGACGACGCTGGAGAGAGTGATGTTAACAACTTGTAAGTGGCTGTCCTCGTGCTCTGGACCCAGTGGGGAAGGAGGCTTTTGTAGAGCCTCTCACTTAACCATGATGGTCGGGGCTGGGGTGGGGACTAAAACCCCTGGGTGACTTGGCCTTGGGGCCACTTACTGCTGGCACCTCATGCAGCGCTCCACCAGGCTGTCTCTCACTCCAGGCTCTACCCTCTGTCCCCTCCACCCGCCCTCTCCGGGGTGGTGGTGTCTGCCCTCTGCCTCTGCCACTGTCGCCGTTGAAGTCACCCTACTGGATCTCCAAATGGCCTTCATACCCACTTCACTGGGAGCTAAGCATTGTAGCCGGTGTGTGTGTGCACTGGGCTTGGAAGCAGCAGCACAGAGTGTGGGGGAAGGGACAGGGCAAGTGCTGGCCTTGGACTGTGGGGTGTAAGTTCTCTCCTCCCCGCTTCAGTTTTCAGCTAACGGTGGAGATGTTCGACTACCTGGAGTGCGAACTTAACCTCTTCCAAACTGGTGAGTCCTCCCTCCCGGAATCTGGCCCAGGCTGTCGTGGAAACTGCCTAATCCCCAGCTGTGTTTCCTGCTGGGACCAGCCCAGCTAGTCCCTCTCTCCCTATAAGCTGCACAGCACAGGACCAGGAAGATTGGAGACTGCGAGCCTTCCGTGCAGAGAGGGGCTGAAGCTCTTGGGCATTTTCAGAGTCAGCGATTTCATATCTTAGCAGGAAGACCACACTCCCCAGACAGTTCTGACCTCTGTCTCAGCCCATGGACTGTGGCCCTGACACTGGCTGGTCCTTTGGCCCAGCCCTGTCTGCTACTCAGCCTGGCCCCCGGGGCTGAATTTCTGCAAGAAGGGCTGCTGTCTGCTGCTTGGTTGGTAGTGAGGGAAGAAGCTGGTCGAGTTGGGTTGTTACCCAAGTCCACGTGAGAAGTACTAACTCCCTCGTAGGAGAGTGTCTCCAGGCCCCTCCTGCTGAGGGTTCTGGTGCTTCTAGGCGGTCGGGCCCTAACGCTTCCTCTCCTCTGGAAGGAAGCAGCTGCTTCCCTTGTCTCCTGTGCTCCCCCTTCCCACTCGGTTCCCCTTCTGTCCCTGGGGAACGGGAGAACCAGTTTTCTAAGATTCAGGATGTTCTTTGACAAGGGTCCAACTCTGAAGGCACGTTCCAAAACACAAGTAATGGTGCACAAGTGTGGCAGCCTCAGCATTTGAGGACATAGGGTCCACCCCTGGGACTTTGGTTCTCTCTTAAAAGACAGAAACGGTCTCACCATAAATTGCAATATTTTTCATCATGTTCATCTGTAAGGCAAATGGCTAGTTATTTCCAGCTGTCGCAGACCTGTGACGGGGCAGCAAGTTCCTCGATACTTGGACTGATCAGTTCGGTGCAGGATGTGGTCAGTGGAGCACCGGAAACAGTTGGAAACTGTGGCGTGGGAGAAGGAGTATGTGGTGCCCGCTAGCAACCGATTGGAGCAAAGTCTTCTGCGGAAGTCAGTAGAGAAGTAAAAATGAAACGTGAAATCCAGTCCCTGCCCTAAGGCATTGCCAGCAAGGCAGAAGAAATGGCGCAAAGGTGTTTTGTTTTATTTTGTTTTGTTCTGTTTTTAATGCATTAGAAATGTTTGCATGGAAGTATACACACTGTTGTAGCAAACTTTCAGTTATTTCGCTTGGGGCAGGAAGGGCCCATGTGGATAAGTCAGAATTCACTGACACTCAGCTTTGGAATGTGCTTCATTTGAGTGCAGGTATGAGTGATGATTAGGAAGATCTTGTCTTCCTTGGGAGAATCAGTCTAGAAACTGTCACGCAGCCGACCCAACCACTTACTGCAGCTCTGGCCTCTGTTTCAGACTGCGCCTGCCATGGTGGTGGTTGGGGACACACGCCAGATGGCTCAGCCTTTGGGGCTGTCCCTTCCAGCCCCTGACAGACTGCTGGAGAAAGTGAGCAAAGGTGTGATGCCACCTGCCAGGATGTGAGGAGGCTGGGAGGATGGGTGTGTGGTGCAGGCAAATGCCCCACCGCAGGGGGCCAGCTCGCTCCACCTCCCAGGATAACTGGCTCTGTTTTTATCTGCACTGTTCACTTGTATCCCTACCACCCGATGCGGAGCTCCTCCTCAGAATCAGGAGCCGTGCCCCACTCCCCTCCGCTTCAGCCCAGAGCCCGTCTATAGCTTGTGCTCAGCAGCAGACCAGCAGTGAAAAAACAGCAGACAAACACAGTTCGTGAGATGGTGCCAGCGTCCAGCTGAATGCTCAGGCTTGTCTGGGGGACTTGGCTACTTAGAGTTTTCTAGAGGAGAGCTACCCAAGTCTTGGCTTTCTTGTCTCTGAAAGAGACCTGATTTGGAACAAGAGCCCTCTTTTATATGTCTCCCCTGCTCCCTTCCCTGTGCCAACTCACCTACTGTGTGACGCAAAAGTTACGAGGACTGGTGTTGGAAGGGGCCTCTCCAGCTTCTCAGGCCTAGTCTGTGGCCTTGCAAGGTTCTGACCTGCCCCCTCAGCAGGGCGCCGTTGGTTTTCAGCTGTGGGAGATGGACCAGTGACAGTTAACATCTACGCGGCGGCTCTGTGATCCCTGGACCAGTAGTGGCAGCATCACCTAAAACTGTTAGAAAAGCGAATGCTCAGGTGCCACCCCAGGCACAGTGAGCCTGGGGTGGAGGCCCACCACTCAGCATTTTAACAAGGCCCCCTGGTCTGTGCTGTCCACTGTGGCAGCCACTAGCCACGTGTGACTATTTAAATTGATTACCATTAAATAACACGAAATAGCCAGGGCCTTAGTCCCGCTTGCCGTGTTTTGGGCACTGAGTAACCACATGTGACCAGCACATGGAACAGCACATAGGGACACTTCCATCCTCACAGGATTCAACTGGACGGTGCCACCTAATCATTCTCTTGCTTACCGAAGTTTGAGAACCACTGAGTGAGAAAATACAGCATAGTAGAATCACGGGCCGGGGGGGCTTTTGAAATCTACTGATGCCCCAGTCCTACCCCAAACCAATTAAAATAGAATTGGGGTGTGGGAGAGTTGCAGGCAGACATTAGTAGTTTTTAAATTTCTCCAGATGATTCTAATCAATCTGAAAGCCAAAGTTGAGAGCCACTGCTCAGTGCTATGCACTTCACACAACATTTTCATTTAATTATTACGAGACCCGTATGAGATGCGCTATTAGAACCATCTGCATTTTATAGAAAAGCATCTGGAGGCTCAAAGAGGTGGAGTAGCTCGTCCGTGGTCACGCTGCTCGTGCTGTGCCTGGATGCCGGCGGCGTTCCTGGAAAGCAGTGGCGGCCTGGAGAGGGAGCCGTCGGTGACGCCCTGCCAGAGTGGAGCCTACGGAAGCCAGTAGGCTTGCGGATGGCCGCCTTGCAGTGACAGCTGCTTTTAATTTGTGTCAAGAAAAGCTGCCTTTTAATTAGAACCATTTGGGCTTTTTTTCAGCTGCCAGACCAAGTGGTTAACAGGGATTAGTGCAATCAGGGAAGGCCGGGCCCAGCAGCTCTGGGCGTGCCTGCGGGGCAGCCCCACTTGCTGAGGGGCTGCAGGGGATGTCTTTCGTTGCCGGTCCCGGCTACAGGTGAAGTTCTGGAGGTAGTGGGCAGCTGCTGCAGGCAGGAAATCAGCCCTGGCTGCTGGTGTGTGCTGAGGGTCCAGTTGCTTGTCTTAGGAGAAGGTGCAATGGGTTAATGTTGAGGGATCTCGGGAGCAGACTGCTCTCTGGAGCTTGGGACAGTGGGGGGCAGTCCTGCTGTTGGCCTGTTCCAAGGACTTCCATCAGCTTTCGATCCTGATGGTCATCCTGGTCCCAGCCCCTGAACTTGGTTCTCTGATCAAGTTAGCAGGCTCTCTGATCACCCACCCAGGGCTCGGGCACACATCCCTCTTCCTGTCCCAATAACCCTGTGGCAGGCCAGTAGGAATTCAAGCCTGGCTTTTTCCCTTCCTCATGTTCTTAGCGATGTTTGATATTTTCCCCACATGTTAACTGTTGCCACCACCAGACTGGGTGCCTCTCAGGGTCAGGGTTCCCATCGTCTGTGTTCATGCGTGAGCAGAAGGGTTGGATTGGCTGTCTCAGCAGCCCCTCCCAATCCTGAAATTCTGGTGCCCCATACAGCTGAGGGCTTCCGTTGATCAAGAGCTCATCTCCCCACTTCTGTTAAATCAAAAACTGAAAAGTGAGGTGTTCAGCCTCTGCTCAGCCTGGGGGCAGAGGCCACGAAGCCCCTCAAGGAGGAGACTCCTCCCCAGGGGCTACACCAGCCTGTGGCCGAGTCTCTTCTTTCCCGGCTTCCTCAGGGCTGTGCACAGGGAAGAGCAGAGTTCCCTGCTCATGACACGTGGAGCAGCTTGTCTTACAGGAGCCAGGCTCCTGGGCCACCACTGCTGGCCACACAGGCGCTGTCTTTTAACCCAGAACCTCTCAGCAAAACCAGTTCTTGATTTTGCGACCACCTTCCAGTCACATACCTTCAGTTTCCTTGCCTGTATAACAAGGCTACCTTTATCCTTCAGGCACCGTGTGAAGTTTAAGTGCATCAAAGGCGATAGTGTGTGCACAACATAGGTGCCCAGCATATGCGAGACCCCTGCCTTTGGCCCTCTGAGCAGGTCCCCTAAAGCTTCCTAGTTCCACCGCCTCCCTCCCCCTTTTGTTTTCTAGTGTTCAACTCCCTGGACATGTCCCGCTCTGTGTCGGTGACAACAGCTGGGCAGTGCCGCCTTGCCCCACTGATCCAGGTCATCTTGGACTGCAGTCACCTCTATGATTACACTGTCAAGCTTCTCTTCAAACTCCACTCCTGTGAGTACACCAGCCAGATCTTCTCTGAGCTTCTGGCTAGAGGGAGGATCTCAGCCTGAAGCTGTCCCTGGATAAGTGCAGCTCCTCCGTGGCCTGAGCTCTCAGCCTCTGTTCTAAAAGACCTGCCTTGAGAAAAGCAGGGTGCCAGCCGCATGGTGCCCTGCGAAGCACCTGGCTTGCGACAGTGGGGTCCCAGGATGGTCCCCTCCCTCCACCCCAGCTTTACCTCACCTCCATCCACACATGTCCTGTATTCTGTGAACCACACAAGTGGCAACAGACCTGGCCTGGACCCACAGCGGCAAAGGCGTTGTTTCCAACATGCCTGGCCACACGGGCTCGTTGTGCAAGCAGGATTTTGTAGGGATACGTAAAATGTAAAACGCTGCTCACGTGAGTGGAGTGCCGACCCTGACCTAGCCACAGGCCCCAGGATGCTTTTTTGTCATCTGTTTTGGAGACTCTTGGCCCTGCAGAAGTTCTTATACTTTCATGTGCTTCTTGTTTAAAACAATGTGTGTGGGTTCTGCCCCTTGCCCCTGCACCATCTGCATTGGTAGGTCTGTTGCCCTCGGGGTCCGCATGGTTAAGCCATATCCCAGACGCATCTGATGTGCGTGCTGCCAGGACCACATCCCAAGGCGGCCACTGTGAAGAGTGGGCACGTGCAGAAGGTGTGGGTGCTGGAACACCAAGAAAAATCGAGATGTGAATGGGCCCTAGCAAGGTTGTAGTTTAGAATTCTCCAACAAGGGACCCTCTGGATCTGTGGTCACTGGCAAGGAATGGGTCTGGATACTTAGATGGGACTAGGGAGTCAGCCTTGCTCTTATGAATCCAGGAGGGTTTCGTGGAAGGGAGGTTGGACTTCGATGTTCAAGGACTAGAAGGGATTTGGAGAAGATGGGAGCAGAGGCTGGACTCAATTCTAAGAGAAGGCAGGCAGTTACTTAGGAGCTCTGAATACAGATGAACTTGTAATTGTTTCTAAAATGCTGTGAAACCCAATTATCCATTAGTACATTCCTACTTTCTTATAAAGTGGTGAGTTATGAGAAGAAATGGGTAATTAAATATTTGGGCTTAAAGGCAAAGCGATACACAAGTCCCTCCCTGGTGGCCTCTGTGCAGGACGGCATGGGTGGGAAAGGAGTGGGGGAGACGCTCCACTCAGTATACACTCTCCTAAAGATACAATTTTACTGTAGAATAGTTTTGATCTACAGGAAACCACAGTGGTCACCAGTGCTTCTTCTGTGGTCAGGAACATAACTCCCAGCATGGCTCACACACTCCAGGAGCAAACTGGAGGAACAATCTGGAACATAAGCGCCCCAGACTCCCTGTTGAGCCTCCTTTAATACCAGTCCTGGGGCAGCTCTAGGCCAGAATGCCTGCCAGCAGGGTTGGCCGCAAGCCCCGGGTGGGTGGTCTGCTGTGGCTTGACCTGCCTTCTGTCCCTCCTCTTCCCTCTCACTCTTTTCCAATTTCTCCCAGGTCTCCCAGCTGATACCCTGCAAGGCCACCGGGACCGTTTCATGGAGCAGTTCACAAAGTAAGTGGCTTAGGTGATAGAAATGAAGGTGAATCAAAAACTACCATAACATCAAAGAGCACTTGCTTTAAATAATTGAGGAACGAGAGTATCTGCATTTTAAAGCAATCAAATAAAGAGAAAGAACTAGGAGGATGGAAAACCTACCAGTGTCTGGGGGAGCTGCCATTTCTTCAGTAAATCCCCTAGAAGCACGTAGAAGGGCCTGGCTGGTGCTGTTCAGTGGACCGAGGGCCGGCCTGCAGACCGAAAGGTCACGGTTTGATTCCTGGTTGAGATGCATACCTGGGTTAAGGGCCAGGTCCCCAAGTGGGGCGTGTGTGAGAGGCACTGGATCCATGTTTCTTTCCCTCTCTTCCTCCATCTATAAAAGTAAATTAATAAATTTTTTTTAAAAAAAGAAGTAGCAGCACACAGAAGAGGGCCATTTCATTCATCACGTGCTTCATGCCCAGGGCTTCCCCCTCTTCACTTTTCCTTCCCCCTGCGTTCTTGCTGTCTTAGACCGTGCGCATGCTGACAGCTCCCAAATCCGTATCTCTAGCAGAACCTTACCTCTGAATTCCAGTCTCATGTACCCAATTGTCTATGTGACATGTCTACACCAAACTTAAATCTCAGGCTAAACTCTAGGTTTTCCTCCAAGAAACCCTTTCTCCCCAGTTTTTTTAACCTCAGTAAATATTGCCACTGTCCGTTTAGGCCAGAGATTTAGAACTTGTCATTCACCTCATCCCCCACATCCAGACCATTCACAGGTTCCACCGATGCTCTACAAAGACACCCTGGCTCTGGTCACATCTCCTCCCATCTCTGCGGCTACCGTCACTGTCTGCCAGGACCTCCGGTGTTGAGAGGGTGCCCTGGACTTCCACTGCACCCTCCTGCACTCCGGTTCTCACCCAGCAATTAGAACGTCCTTGTAAAATGCAAACCCCTTGCTTGAAACCTTTCCATGCTTCTGATTACACTGAGAATAGGAGCCGGGCTCTGCTCCACAAGACCCTGCACGATCTGGCCCTGCCTGCTGGCTCTGACCTGGTTCCCAGAGCTGGACGTGTGTCAGCCACACGGAGTCCACCTCCAGTTCCTTCCTCCGGGCCTCCATCTCCTGGGGACGCTGTCGCCCCTCGTGGGGATTCTGTTTTCCCAGCCTGACCAGCCCCAGGTCAGCTTTGGTCACCACTCTCAGAGGCCGTCCTCAGTCACCTTATCTGAGTGGGGATCTTCCCCATCTCCTGACCCTCCAACGTCACCCCGCTCCATGCCCATGTTCTCCCTCACAGCACGCCGTTTATTTCCTTCATTTTTCCCCCAAGATTTTATTTACTTATTTTTAGAGGGAGGAAGAGAGGGAGAGAAACATCAATGTGAGAAACACATTGGGGCATGCACCCCAACTGGGGACTGGCCCGCAACCCAGGCATGTGCCCCGCCTGGAATCAAACTGGCCACCTTTTCATTTTGCGGGACAACGTTCAACCAAGTGAGCCAGGCTGGTCAGGGCTCCTTCATCATTCGTAGCACGTTATTTCTGTCTTGTCTGTTATATCTCTTGCACCTGATACATATATAGTCATTAAGCATATAGTGTTTAATAAATATTTGATTGAATTAATGAGCTAATGAACCAACTAGCCCAGAAGAAGAAGAGCTTACCTGAGAGGCTAATTATTCTGATGCACTTGGAAAAGAAAATTGGTGGCTACATGAAAAGTATAGCTCAGCCTTCAAGTAAGTGTGCCCAAGGAGAGGGGAAGGAATGGAGTGGGAGGTGGAAGAACCCAGGGAGCCGAGAAGGGAGTCAGCTTCACAGGGTTTATTTTGACCATCTTGCTTTTCCTGTTAACTTCTTCAGCCTTGACAATGGGAAAAGCGTAGCTCCCAAATCCCAAGCTTAGGTTTCTCTGCTACTGGTTCCCGAGCAGCCATCAGAGGACAAGTTCAGGGTTGTACTAACCTCCTGATTTCCCTGTTCCATTTGAAAAGCCTCCTATGTTTATTCTATAATAAATGATTTACTAAACCCTAGGAGACAGGCCCTGGGGCTAATTTCCTGGAATGTAAATTCCAGTAGCTGTTGAAAGCAGCAGAGCCTGTTACTGTTGGCTCCGGCCCAGAAAGGGGGAGATGTGTGGTCAGGTGGTTGTACTTCCTTTAATTTGTTCTGGCTTATGGAGGTGTCTCCTGTGAGTATCCAGTTCACTCTCTCTTCTAACGGGCATGTTGGCTCTCCAAGGCATCACCGTCCCCTAATTCTGGGAGAGCAGCGATGACATCGCAGGGACATTTCTAACCTTGGGGTCCAAGTGGCTGTCATGAGACCCCAGGGATTTAGTTTGTTAGGCCAAATGGGAGGACATTCTGTGCTGCAGAGAGAGGCTCTGGGGCCCTGACCCGATTCCACCTCATCAAGCACTGGGTTGGCCAAAACGTCTGTTTTGCTTCTTCTGTAAAATAAAAGACATTTTTCATTTTCACCAATAACTTGATTGATTTGGATATTCTGAGCATGTTGGCTATCTCCTGCCATTGGCTTCTAGTGGGCAGAGGCCAGGGGTGCTGCTAATCACCCCTTCCAGTGCATCAGACAGCCCCTCAGCAAAGAGTTGTTCAGCCAAAATGTCACCAGTACTAAGAAACTCCACAAACCACATTTGATACATTCAATCAGTCACGGCACCTTCTCCATACACTGCCCAAATCTTTTTTTGCATTTTAGTTGTGTTTTTACCTTTCTTAAAATAATAAAGCATAATATGCCACAAATGTTGTGTATCTTCCATCTTCAATTTTAAAATGGCTGCACAGAAATTCACCAATCTTGGTAAGTTTTTTTATAATGCACACTGATATGACAGTTGTCACAATACAACCTAACAATTATTTCAAATGAAGTTAAAGACAACTAAGCACTACTAGGTCCATCATACGAAAAAAAAAAAAGAACAGACTTTTTGGCCAACCCAGTACGTCTGGTGCTCTCGGCTTTCTTGGCCTTCAGTGTTTAGATTCAAAGTAGAGATTTGAGGATGAGAAAAAAAATTTGATTTCTTCGTTCCCATATTCATCCAAGATTAGAGACTCAGTATAAATAGAGTTCCTCCAGTGGGTACTTGCTGAATAGTTCCCCGATGCCTGGTGTTGTGGTAACTGGCTCGGCAAGGCCCAGCCTCTGCTCTCCAGAAGCTAACTGGGGAGGTGACCCATGGCTCTAACACACGGGGAAGTGATTTAAAAGAGATCTACCTTAGTAATTAAATTCCTTCCCTCTTCCTGTGCATAGGTGATTTAACCTGAAAAAAAAACCAAACCATTTATTTTAAAGTTACTCTAAGCCAAAAATTCCTAGGAAGATTCATCTGTCAAGCAACAGTGATGTGGAAATTAGTTTTTGGATTATCTACTCTTGTAAAGGATTTTGCAGTTTGAGTTACACTTTCCTCACCACCAGGACTGGCTATAAATACTCTTTCTCTATAGCATCATAATTGAGTCCTTGCACCATGGGGGCCATCTCCTTGACAGCCTGTGCCTTTGACCTGGGCAGGCACAGGAGGAAAGCTGGGGTGTACACTCTCCCCTCCTTCCCGGGGCCGGTGGAGACCCCAGCCCCCTCAGGCTCTCCCCCATCCCCAGGTTGAAAGATCTGTTCTACCGCTCCAGCAACCTTCAGTACTTCAAGCGGCTCATTCAGATCCCTCAGCTGCCCGAGGTAAGTGTCCAGCCACACCCTGGGAGCTGCCGAGTCCAGGATACTCTTAGAGATTGGCAGGCCTGACAAGTGACCAACTTCCAGGGTGTGTCTTCCCTCTTCAGAACCCACCCAACTTCCTCCGGGCCTCTGCCCTGTCAGAACACATCAGCCCCGTGGTGGTGATCCCAGCCGAGGCCTCGTCCCCTGACAGCGAGCCAGTCTCGGAGAAGGATGACCTCATGGACATGGATGCCTCCCAGCAGGTGAGGACCACTTGGGAGAGAAACGTGGCTCTTCCCTTGCCCCCAAGTGCAGGGGAGAGTACGGGTGGGGTTCTGACCAAGCCACCTTGGCTCTAAGCAGGGTCAGCTAACTTCTAACCCAGGTTCTAACCTGGACTGAGCATCTCGCCCTGTCGTCCCTAGGAGCACTGTAAATGGATGTGAACCTGATTAAGAAAGAGTCCATTCTTAAATGTGACTCATTTGACCCCCACTCAGAATTCTCTGGACCTCTAACTTTGTTCTCAATCCTTTTTGGTTACCACAGAATTTGTTTGACAACAAGTTTGATGACATCTTTGGCAGCTCATTCAGCAGTGACCCCTTCAATTTCAACAGTCAGAACGGTGTGAACAAGGATGAGAAGTGAGTCCAAGCAGGGTTAATACAAACTTGAGAGAAACTAAGTTAAGCCATGATCTGACTTGCCGCACCTCACCAAAGAGGAATCCTTAATGATGCCTGGGCTTCTTAGAGAAACGTCTTATCCCTCCAATAGTAGCCCATCAGATCCCTAAGGAAAATCAGGTGATGCTGAAACAACAGTGGACCTGTGGGTATTAGATTAGTATCTAGTAACTGACAATTTTAGAGTAAAATTTATGAACTTTAAAAGAATCATCTCCAGATTAACACCAGCTTTTAACTTCCTCTACTGGTCTCCCAGCTTGCATTTAGGAAGAGAGGGGTAGGAGCACAGTGGGTGCAAACTTATTCTCCTTCTGTTCCCAGGGATCACTTAATTGATCAATTGTACAAAGAGATCAGTGGGCTGAAGGCACAGCTGGAAAACATGAAGACTGAGGTGAGAATGGGCTCTGATCTGCTTCTGGGCTTTACCATCAGAGAACAGATTTTAATTCAATTTGTTTCACATAACCCTGGCTGGTGCGGCTCAGTTGGCTGGAGTGTCGTGCCATAACTGAAAGGTTGTGGGTTCAATTCCCGGTTCCCGTGCATACGGGAGTCAACCAGTTGATGTTTCTGCCCCACATCAGTGTTCCTCTGTCACCCTCCCTCTCCCCCATTCTCTCTTTTCGAAAGCAAAAAAAAAAAATGTCCTCGGGTGAGGATTTTTTAAAAATTGCTTCACGTAGGTACTTGTTGGACCACATTTTAGGGGATTAATTAGTAGAAATACCAAAGCCAGAGGATCTGGTCTCCGTGGTCTCATCGTAGTGCATTTCTACTGCATTTGCTTTGAGAATGGCCTCGAAGCCAAGCCCCGGTGTCCCTCAGAAATAACCGTGATCACCTACCAGCTGTGAAGCTGTGGTGAGAAAGACCTGTATGCACACAGTGATAAGAAGGTTTGGTCCCTCACTCTGATGGCTGTTTGCATGTCTGATGCTGGACATGCCTGGCCCCTGACACCAGAGCTGGTCAGAGGCTTTGCTCACTGGGACAGGTGGACACTCTCTCCCTCCCGACTCCACCTCCTCCATCGCTCTCCCAAGCCCCTCTGACAGGACCAGAATTCCCCCACCGTCATCCCCTGTTGTTGCTGATTGGATGGCTTGTAATTACCTGAAGGCTCAGCTCCAATGAGACTTTGGGAGTCAGCTTGTTAGGAAAACCTAGGCATTAATTTGGTCAGTGCTAGAAACACGATAGGACCTGCTTCTCCACCCAGCACACCTGACCCACAGCAGCACGGCAATCGGCCATATTACGTAAGTCCTTCCCACAGAGCCAGCGAGCTGTCCTGCAGCTGAAGGGCCGCATTAGTGAGCTGGAGGCCGAGTTGGCCGAGCAGCAGCACCTGCGGCAACAGGCGGCTGATGAGAGCGAGTTCCTCCGGGCCGAGCTGGATGAGCTCAAGAAGAAACGAGAAGACACGGAGAAGGCACAGCGGAGCCTGACAGAGATAGAAAGTGAGAGGCTGGTGGGACGGGAGTGGGGGTGTGGGTTGGGGAGATCAGTGGTGATGGAGGAGGCTGGTGGCAGAGGCCCACTCAGCCTTGCATCTGTCCAGAGGAGCTGTCAGCAGAGCCAGCTCTCATTAACAGTCAGTGACTGGAGTCCAGCAGAAAGGGCCCCTGTGTGAGGCGCTGCTGAGAACACGGCAATGGGGGTTACAGAGGGTGACGGGTGCCTGGCCCAGGAGGCTGGATCTCCAAAGGAGAGAGAGCTCAAGAAAGCGCTTGACTTAAAGCCAAAAACACAGATAAAATGCTCAGGATGCATGAACTGGTGCAGCGATTTGAGTCAGGTGAATCCTTTTTAAAGAAGGCTTCCCCAAGGAGTTTCAGGAGGGTTTTTGAGGGAAAAGAGGTATACACATTTGTGAAATGAAAGGAGGGTCTTCTAGGGATTCTGGTTCATTGGAAGAGGTCTGGAAGGTCCCAGCCAGGTAGACTCTTCACCTTGGTCCTTGGCCACAGGGAAAGCCCAGGCCAATGAGCAGCGGTACAGCAAGCTCAAGGAGAAGTACAGTGAGCTGGTGCAGAACCACGCGGACCTGCTGCGGAAGGTAGGAACCTCAGCCTGCCTCCCACCACGTGCAGGCCCCACCCCACAAGGCAGAGAGCAACTCAGGCCGCGTGGCTTCTCCAGGTCCAGTGCCCCCACCAGTCTCCAGTGGGTCTGCACCATTTCTCAGGAACCTCAGCTTTTCAAGCTCCCTCACCACCCTTCTCTTGAGCTCCACCTTAGATGCCAGCCCCATGCGCATTGTCGTTATCTCCATCTTTATTAGTTCTTTAACTACTCCAGAGCTGAGTACCTGCAGATGACAGCTTTCTTCCAGCTTCCCTCTGGGTAGGACAGTGATTCTGTATTCAGCCCTAGGGCACTCTCGGCCTAAATGCTGTCATTTGTTACAGAAGGAAGATGTCCTTTAAGCCTGAGATGAGCCACCACTGCTCTTCTCTTACAGAATGCAGAAGTGACTAAACAGGTGTCTGTGGCCAGACAAGCCCAAGCAGATTTGGAACGAGAGAAAAAAGAGCTAGAGGATTCCTACCAGCGCATAAGTGAGCAGGCCCAGCGGAAGGTGAGTGGAAGGGAGGCAAACCTGGGAAATGAGGGAGGGATCCATCCGAGTTGGAGGCGGGCCTTGATCCAAAGCCTTGCCTTGCGCTCCTCGGGCAGCTGGCTCTGTGGGCTGGAGCCCTATGAAGGTGCTGCGAAAGGCTGCTTAGAGTAGGTTGTGATTTCTGAGGCATAAGGGGTTAGACGTCACTGAATTTCATCAGCAAAGGCTTTCCTAAGGCAAGTCTTAAGGAAAGCACGTGGCTATCAGAGGCGAACGAGCGTTTACAAGGAGCAGTAGCCAGAGGAGCACCTGTCAGTCAGGGTGGGCTTGACAGGCAGGTCGCTTTGGAGTGAGCCATGTCAGATAGATAGAACTGGATGCCTTACACATCAAGTCATGCCTTTTACACGTTCTGTGACCCAGAGTAAAAAATACATCTATCTAATGGGAATAAAAGTCTCACAAAGAAATACTTTTCCTTACTACGTGAATGCATTGGGGTGTTTTATTTTGCTGTTTTATTTTTTTGTTATCTGTGACTTTTAGCAGTGGGTCACAACCCACTCTTTGAAAAACACCACTTAGAAATCAAAGAAGGGGACTATTTCTACTAGATGGCAAGATTTGGCCGTGTACCAGTGTTGGGACACCTGACTTAAAGATCCATTTCTACTTTAATGAATATTATGGGCTTAAACATGGCACTTGGAAGCGTCCTAAAAGTCCCTCCTTGACATTCCACTTCCTCAGAAGAAAATTTTCCTACACTCGAGTTCTCTCCTCCTTCTCCCCCGGCCCCTTTTGCTGAGGTAGAATTGGCATACAAAAGACGACACAACTCTCATTTATAGGTCAGGGAGTTTTTTTACACATATATCCCTTGTACCCACCACCCAGATCCGGGTGCTCCTGTTTTTCTCCCCTTTCAGACTCAAGAGCAGACGGAAGTACTAGAGAATTTGAAGCAAGAACTTGCCACCAGCAAGCAGGAGCTCCAGATTGCCCAGGGCAGCCTGGAAACCTGTGCCCAGGTGAGCGCCCCCTTCTTTACTTCCCTTCCTTATTCCACCACCCGCTCCGGCTTTTGTGTTGCTGTCAGTAAGTCTCTGTCACTGTCTAGCATATGGTCAGCCTGGTCCCATCTGTGATCAGTTTGTACTCAGGGGAATCAAAGCGACAGGTTAAAGAGATATGACCTTCTGTTCCTTGTGGCCTGGTGGTAGGTTTGGACTTCTGGGAAAGGGACAGTTTAGTTCCTCCCAGCAACTCCCTCTTCCCACACGGTCACCGTTGCAGGCAGAAGAAAAATGGGTGACTCGGATTGCTGAACTGGAGAAGGAGCGGGACAGCCTGGTGACTGCCATGGCTCGTCGAGAAGAGGAAGTCTCTACTCTTCAGGAACAGCTGGAACACACCCAGAGCAAACTGTCCAGTGCACAGGCAAGTAAGACCCTCTCAGGCCAGCCAGGTTTGACTTTCACCCATGGCATTGGCGGTGGATTCATGAAGGCCGGGAGCTGTGAGAAGGCTTTAGGGCCTCCTGCCTGATTTTGAAGGCATCTGTAGGAATAGCCCCTAATGCCAGCATGCCCTGAGTCACCCCCAGAGCAGATGAGGGAAAGCAGAGCTCTCCTTTTTTGTAGAAAAAAGAGATGCACTTAGCACTCTCCCCCCAAGACTGGAGGATGGGTTGCAGTGGCCCGTCCCCATAGCCTCCTGTGCTCAGTGGCTCGTGCCTCAGACAAAGCAAGAACTTGAGCTAAGATACAGGACTCCCAGCTATATAACAGGTGGATGCTGCTCGAAGCCTGTTACGGGCTCTGTGGCAGACTCTCACTTCCCTGGACCATTTCTAGGAATCTATGTGCCAGCTCGCAAAGGACCAACGAAAAATGCTTCTGGCAGAGTCAAGGAAGGCTGCGGAGAAGGTGATACAAGAGGCCCTGAGGCAGCTTGAGGAGCCCACTCTCATCAGCTGCCCTGGATCTGCAGGTACTCTTCCTGGCTTGCAGGTGCCAAATTCTGTTGGCATTAAATCTCATGTGACGCTGAACTCAGGGGTTCTCAGCCCAGCTGTAGGTCATAATTGCGGGGGGGGAGGGGCTGGGCAGTAGTATTTTCTAAAGCTTCCAGGTGTGATAAGTACTGCTTTAGCCATGGGTCACACTAATCAAATGCCTACTGGGAGCTGAGCCTTGACAACAATTCTAAAGGCCAGTAGGACGACGACCAGACAGTCCTGTGTCTAAGGAGAGAAATGTGCTCTGAATCAAGGCGTGGTCACGCATGAGCTTCAAGTCAGACAGGGGGGCATCATAAGCATGGAGGGGCAGAAACAGTAAAATCCCCACATAGTCATAGGTGTGGCCAGGGACCCACTTGGCAGGTACCAGTGTCCTAGGAGCATGCGAGTAGAGCAGCAGCCCAAGTCCGAGAATTCCTCTGAGTCGGAGGGGAGAGCCTCTGTGCCCAGGAGGTGGAAGAGCATCCAGGCCCGGGGGATGTGTGAAACCACAGTGATGAGCAGATCTCATCTGCATGCAGGGAAGACACGTTGGCGAAGGAACGAGAGGTTCCACTGCAGGATGGGCAGATGGGAAGAGAGCTGGCAGTTGGTTTTTATGATCAAATAGAAAGGTCACGATGTGGTGAAGTCTACAGCAGAACTGTTCTTTCTTACTCAACGGGAACCGGTCTGTAAGGAAACACAACAGTACAAATGAAGGCGCACACTGAGGGAATGCCAGGAAATGGAGCCACTGTGGGCAGATTCTGGGAAGAGATGTGATGAGCTAGCTTTTGAAGGAAAAGACATTCACCAATGGGGAGGAAGAAAAATGGGGAACAGTAATAAAAATAGCTGACTTTGCCTTCTCTGTGCCAAGCACCATTCTAAGCACTTCACATGCCTTGGCGCAGCAAATCCTCACGGTGCTGCCGGAGGTGTTTCTGCTATTTCTGTTTTCAGGTGAGGAAGCAGGCACAGACAGCATGAGATCCTGGCCAGGAGTGGCAGATCCAGAGGCCACACCTAGGCCGTGTGACCAGAGAGCCCATGCTGGAACTCCTGTGCAACACAGCCTCCGTGGTCCTGAGCCCAGGGGCACAGCGGTGGGAGTGGCTGTCGTGTGCAGCACAGATTAGCCTAGTGGGAGCCAAGGCTCTGGGCTCACGATTAATGAGAGTCTAGGGTCCTTGAGAAATGTAACAGGCAAGTCTGGATCGATCCAGTGGGCAGTAGTGAGAAGCGAGATGCAGAATCTAGGGGGGCAATGTGGTTGCCCTGGCTCTTGTCTGAAGACCAGGTAGGCTTCGAAGCACAACTTTTGAAGCTACAGTAAGAGAATCACATACCAGTGTAACCAAAGAGCTTTCCCTCCCTCCCTCCTCAGGGCAGCTCCCTTAGGGCTGGAGCCATGCACTAGGTATGCTCATTCATCAGGTGACTTAATAGGGATGAAGCAAGCCATGACAACTCCGCCTTTGACTTCGTCTGTTTTTCCTAAAACAGATCACCTTCTTTCCACGGTCAAGTATGTTTCCAACTGTATTGAGCAACTGGAAAAATGCTGGAGCCAGTATCTGGCCTGCCCAGACGGTAAGAAAAGCAAAGGATAGGGTGTGCTCCCAGTGATGGCCGGGCAGGGCTCAGAAATGTGTGAATGTGAAACCCAGGTTCCTGTGCAGCCAGCAAAGAGTGTGCACAGCTCGCAAGGTGGGGAGGGTGGACCCATGAAAGTGACGCCCCTGAAGCAGGTCTGAGAAACTCTCCTCTAAATTCTTAGCAGGTATCAGTGGGCTCCTGCACTCAGTAACCCTCCTCGCCCGCTTGACCAGTGATACCATTGTTCACGGTGGCACCACCTGCCTTAGAGCCCCACCAGAGGCTGCCGATGGTGAGTGCCAGGGTCAGGAGGAGGGACATTCAGAAAAGCTGGGGGAGCAGAGGGCATTGAAAAATCCCTATTGCCTTGCATCGCCAGCACTGACCGAGGCCTGTAAGCAGTATGGCAAGGAGACCCTCATCTATCTGGCTTTCCTGGAGGGAGAAGGAACCCTTGAGAATGTCAACAGCACAGCTATGAAGAGCTGCCTCAGCAAGATCATGGCCATCGGCGAGGTATTATCAGCATCATCACTGGAGAAAGTCATTGTTGATCTTGGGTGTGAGTGCCTGTGATCTGCCAGGAAGTCAGTGATGTTTTAAGCCAGTTCTTTCTGCACTTTAAACTTGATTCCAGAAAATAAGAGAGTTGAAAAATCTGACCTCCCTGGTACGACATCCCAGTTGCATTTAATTCATTGGCGATTAATTAAGAATTTACTGTGTGCTCGTCATTATGCTAGGCAAGATCAAAGAATTAGCATAGTTTTTCTGTTTTCGAGGGTTTTTATGTGGTTGGGCAGGAGACGCCTAAAACGGATACAGTGATATATTTATTTATTCATTCAATAGAGATGCAGTGAATATGTCCTGTATACTGGGCATTGTGCCAGGTGAAATTATAAAGAGACAAATGAGACACGGCTCTATTAGAAGGGAAAATAAAGCCACTATTTCTATACAGTGTGATGAGAAGTAAAATAGAGATCTATTTTAAGAGTACAATACAAAGTATTTAATTAATTCCTAAAATGTGTGGTGACAAGTTCAGGGAAGGAGATCAGGCCCAGAGTTGAGGCCCTCATCATCTCTCATTCAAGCTCTTCAAACAGGGTTTCAATCAGCGTCTCTGCCTCTGGCCTCTTTTTCCTCTGCTCTCTTCCAGAAACAGAGATCTGATTATGATTTCTCATTTGATAACAAATACCATATTATGTAACATGACGTGCAAGGGCCTTCAGAGCCTGGACCCCTTTCTGGGCTCCTCTCGCACCTTCCCTTCACCTTGCAGTTGGTGGCCGGCACTGCAGCGTGCCTCCTTTCCTGCCTGCTTTCCCCCAGTGAGTCCTCAGAGGTAGAGCCCCTCTTTTCTTCATGCTCTATTCCTGGTCCTTGACAGAATATCTGGCCGGTGGTCAGCACCCCACAAATGTTTAATGTACACACAGAGCAAACCAGATACAAAGATGGGTCAGAAGGGGAAGGAAGGTTCCTGCTGGGGAGAAGGGGGCAATGAGGTGGAGAACCTGGGAGGCCTGAATAAAGGACTGTGGACAGCAGTGAATTGCTAACCTCCCTTTCTTAGGGTGACATAATCATGGTGGTAGTTTGGTCTTATTAAATTACTGTGGCAGCCTAGGCAGCATTAACACAGTCTGCCTTTCGTTGGAGATAAAGCACTTCCCCAACACAGTGCAGAATTGAGAAATCGCTGTGCACGTGCAAAGCACGCAGGACACCGTGAGGGATACAAATGAAAGCAAAGCAAAGTGTGATAGAAAGATCATAGGCAGGTTTCCTTCCTGGCACTAGGGGCTACCAGATATTTAGAGGCTCTTCCCAGAATAGGATGTGAAAAGTGCTGAATAAAATTTGGAAAATATGTGTAATTGAACCTGAACTGGCTAGAGACAGAGGACACTCGAGGATGCTGGCATAGGCAGACAGGGCTCGCCTCTTCCCACAACCACGTGAAAATTGCAACTAAAACAATTGAACAGCCATCACTCAGAACCATCAGAAATCAAGTTGAATGGGAGTCTGACAACCACAGAACTAAATTACATCCATCCAGACGGGTAGGAGGGGTAGAGCCATGGCCTGGGCTGGTCTTACACCCACATGTGGTGGGTAAAAATTCAGGAGGGATATCTGTCAACAATTGAATGTAAAAATCAAATTAAGCAAATGAAGAACGACAGAGACAGAATTGTGGATACGGAGAGCGTGTTAATGGTTGCCAGACAGGAAGTGGATACGCGGGAAGGGGTGAAAAGAGGAGGTGATTAAGAAGTATAGATAGGTCGTTACAGAACAGCCATCGGGATGTACAGTACAGCATAGGAAATGGAGCAGCCAAAGAACTTACACATGCGATCAGTGGACATGGACAGTGGTGGGGGGATTGCCTGAGGGAGTTGAGCGCTGGGTGGAGGGGGGCAAAGAGGGAAAGATTGAGACAACTCTAATAGCAATAATAATAGAATTAAAAAAAATAAAAACTGGTTCTCAAAATCAGAAACCAAAAGAATACCAGAGCCAGTGTCTGTCCATCTCTGGTGACCTAGAGTTTGGATTTGAATGGGCCACACATACAGAGGAGAATAAGAAACAAAACCTAAGTCTAAGTAGGATTAAAGATTGGAATGGGGAGCCTTCCCCAGAAAGGAAGTCTGAAGTGAATAGGGAAAAAAATCCTCCCCTCATATGGAAGATCTCGTCGTAACCTTGACCTGTTGAGACAGCAAACATGGCTGCCTAGAGAATTCCTTTCCGTGGATTCAGGTTCAAATCTCATACTTAACCTGTGTGGCCTAAAGACTCCAAACAGGAAATTAAGCTTAAAGCCTAAGGTTGGTAGGAGCCCAGATACCTGGCAGAAATAGACCCCAGTTGTCTGAGGGAATACACTCGGGTTCTAAACCTCAAAGAAGTGTCATAGACAGTCCAAGTAAGTTCACAGTAACTGTTTGACACATTAAAGAACTTTTTAAAAGGTATTAAAAGTGTGATATGGAATAAGAGTTTCAAACATAACCAGATAGATTTAAAAAACAACCATGGGACTTCTGGAAATGAAAAATATATATAATCACTGAAAGTAATAATTTTAAGATATACAGAGTCAATAGTGAGTTAAAACAAGACTGAAGGAAGAATTAGTGAACTGGATGATGGCACTGAAGGGATACACAGAATATGACACAGGTTTTATAAGCTGGAATGTGAAGATTTCAGATAGAATGTTTCACCCCCAGGAACATATTGTTAGTTCAGCGCAAATAAAGACTTTCCTTCTACAACTTCCCGTTCCCAACATTCTGTATGTGAGAGTCATCCATACAGATATATTCGTTTTCACATCTCTGTCATGCTCCATTGCATGAATATTGCTTAATTTCTCTATCTTTTCTCTTGTTGATGGACATTTGGGTTATTTCCAGTTTGGGGCTGTTACAAATGTGTCACTGTGATCATCCTTCTACACGCCTCCTGGTGCATGAGTGCAAGAGTTTCTCTACAGTTTGTACATCTAGGAATCAAATGACTCTAGGATGACTTTCACACACAGAATGCTACATGAAGAAGCAAGTCATAGAAAATATATACAGTACGGTTCCTTTTAATAAAGACCAAAATGCAAAAAAAAATTAACACTGTATTGTTTAAGGATGCACTTTTATGGAGTTAAAAAAAAGACATTGTGCGCATTCTCCTGAACTCTGTGCTTACCTTGGTGTGAGGAGCAGGGAGGGAGGGGGATGGAATCAGGGCAGGATGCAAAGGAGATTTCAAAGGTACTAATAATGTTTCTTAAGCTATTTCTTAAGTTGGGTAACATGGGTCATTTTCTTATTCTTTAAATCATTTGTATCTATTTTACACACTTGTATTTATAACACATAATATTTTAAAACAATCATGAGCCATTGGACCTGAGTTCCAATCCCTGCTTCACCATTTTTTAGCAGTGTAACTGTGTTCAAAGCATTTGATCTCGGAGCCTGGGCTTCCCACCTGTACAGCAGGAGCAGGAACTGCCTTGCCCCATTGCTGTGGGAAGTTACATAAGGGGCAGTCTGTCCACTGGGAAGACATTGTCTGCATTTGAAGAGGTTTTTTTTAACATATCCTAAGCAGCAAACACAGTCAACATGGTGCAGCTGTGGGGTTAGGGTCCAAGCAGCAGAAACCGAACCGCTTTGTGGGGTTAACCAGGGTTGGCCTCCCAGAATGAGGTGGGCTCTGAGTGACGGTGGAGAGGGCAGGGCATAGGCTCCAGGTTCACGTGGTAGAGAGTCCAGACAAGGCCTATTAGGGGTGCCCATCTGTGGCTTGCAGAAGTGGGTTATGTGGTGGGGATCCTCCTACCTTCTGCCATTGTGTGAGGATTACAGGTCTGCCACAGGAGAAGAGAGAGGAGGTCAAAGGGTCATTTCAGCCCTTGTGATCTGTTCACAGGAACTCCTGCCCAGGGGTCTGGACATCAAACAGGAAGAACTAGGAGACCTGGTGGACAAGGAGATGGCTGCTACTTCAGCCGCCATTGAAACTGCTACAGCCAGAATAGAGGTATGGCAGTGTCTGGCGATCTAAAGTGGTGTCCTTGCAGCTACCCTTTGGCAACATTTCCTGTGGGATGTATTTTAGTCATTCATTAGGGCTTCAGAGGCCCCCTATAAAAATAAACCAGAACCTGAACTCACCAGGATCTCTGAGGGATAAGAAATGAGAAAGTCCTCACTAAGAGAAGGTGAGCAGTTTCCTCAAGGGTTGCATATTTGCTGCCAGGCCATCCTGCATTCAGGTTTCAGATTGACCAACCACTTACTAACCGTATTCCTTCTGACAAGTCACAGTAGCCTAGCTAAGATTCCGATTTCACTGTGATAGGATGTCGATAGTAAAAGCACCTACCTCAGAGGGACGTTGTAAGAATTAAATGAGATAATGCACATCTCGCCATGGCCAGTGTGGCTCATTCGGTTGGAAAGCTGTCCCATACACCAGAAGGTTTTGGGCTCGGTCCATAGTTGGGGCACACATGAGAAGCCACCAATCGATGTTTTTCTCCTTCACATCGGTGTTTCTCTCTCTCCCCCCACTCTTCCCCTTTCTGAAATCAGTAAGCATGTCCTCGGGTGAGGATTACAAAAGAGAGATAATGCCCACCTCTCGCAGTGCTAGGCACTCAGTATATGAGTACCTGCCTCCTGGGCCTAGTACCCGCTGCCCCTCCTGACATGGTGCCATAGCTCAGAGTTTTGTGCACATCAGCCCGGGGGCCAGGACTTCAGGACGCTGACAGTAGAGCCCGCCTGCTGGAGCTGCCTCCCACTGAGTAGAATGGAAGTCCAGGTGTTTTCCCTGATTCTCGCAAGGATGTGGCTGGCCCTTCTAGATCTGGGTATTGGAGTGTAGTAGGACACCAGTGGTTCTCAGTACCTGTGACGTCTTAAGAAACCTTGCTTCTTTTTAACAGGAAATGCTCAGCAAATCTCGAGCAGGAGACACAGGAGTCAAATTGGAGGTGAATGAAAGGTCAGTCTGAACAGCACAATGGCACGTAGGTGGTCAGGTGGGCCTGGCCTGCACTGGATTATACCAATTAGAGTAGAACGTTGGCACCCGGGGGAAGGTCGAGTCTATGTTATTGTTGGTAACAGTTTAGTGATGGTGATAGAAACGCTGTTGCGTTATAGAGGAAAAGAAACCCCCAAGAATCCTCACTTAGCTCTTCCTTATGAAGAAGATCCACGACCAAGTCTCCTTGTTCCTCTGCCTTTCCTTCAGGGCTTCACCTGGGGAGCGTTTCCTGCCTTATTTCCCATTCTGAGTTTGCCTGCGTTTAGAAATGAAAAAGAGAACAATTTTCTTCATTGTTGGTCTCTGCTTTGTATCCCTCACCTTTTTTAAAATCTTGTTTGTTTGTTTGTTTGTTTGTTTTGCAGGATTCTTGGATCTTGTACCAGTCTAATGCAAGCTATTCAGGTCCTGATTGTAGCCTCAAAGGACCTCCAGAGAGAGATCGTGGAAAGCGGCCGGGTAAGCGCGGGTGAGGGCCCGTGGACAGGGAGAACAGAACGGACACTAGTTGCAGATTCCCAGCTCACTGAGAGGCTAAGTCTGCATAATATACTTGTCCACATTGAGTGAAATCTGTATGTGCTGTTGTCTCATCCTGCGTGTCCATCTGAGGGCACAGCTGCCACCCCTTGGGTGTCAGCAGGCATCATGGAAAGAAGCTGGACCACTGCCAAGTTGCCAGAGACCAGCCAGCCCCTGCTTCTGGCTACTGGCTTGTTAGCCCGGGCAGACACCACTGGAACCTGCTGTGGAAACCCAGTGTGCATTGCAAGCCTGGGCCCTTGCTAGAGGACCTGGGAGCTTTTGAAAACTAGGCAGATTGGACGAGCAACCTGGTGCTAACTTGCACAGTGGGCTCCACTGTGTCTCTTTGCAACAGCAGCCAACTCACAGTGGTTCACGGACTGTGCCTCAGTCTCTCGTTGACTTCAGCGCTTTGATTTTCTCACTCCTTTGCTGGCATTATTGCCACCTTGTGTTTTCTCGTATCCCTGGCACAGCTGGACTCAAGAGACAAAGGGCCAGGGACAGTTTACGGGCCTGAAAACAATCATATAAAGAATGAAGCTCTCTCTGCTTTGGTGCTGCTTTTTATCAGTCTAAGAGGTGATATTTTTGGTTTCCAGAAATAGAAAGAGGGACTGAGCAAATAGTATCTGCAGATTCTCAGACTATCTGACACTTTCAAAGCATAAATACATTTTAAGAAAACTAAAAAACCCAAGTAGAAATAGTTTTTTAAAATTATTCACTGTATACTCTCTTCTTTTGGCAAATCATGGAGAGCAGCTAGACTCTTCTGAATTTGTTACTTATAAGTACACATTTTATACATATATAAAAATATATATATTACCTTTATACTATATAAACACACACACACACACACACAATGCGGAAATATAATAGAAATTCTGGGTTTGGGAGTCAGAAGAACCTAGGGTTTACTTCCATTTATTTCCTGCATGACCTTGGTTGGGAAAAGTATTTTTGCTTCTCAGAATCTTACTTTTCTCATCTGTAAAATGGGAATAATAATGCATGCCCCTCAGAGTAACTATGAAGCTATCTATGAGGATACATACACACTCACACATATGTGCATATTTACATGCATGTGCATGCATATGCATGTGTGTATGTACCTGGCACATAGTAGGCAATCCATAAAAGGTAACTATTACTGTTTCTCACTTCCCTAGGGCACAGCATCCCCTAAAGAGTTTTATGCCAAGAATTCTCGATGGACAGAAGGACTCATCTCAGCCTCCAAAGCTGTGGGCTGGGGAGCCACTGTCATGGTGTGAGTATCTTTCGGTCCCTGTGTTCCTCACCCCCACCTCCATTCCGTTGATCCATCCCAGAGAATACTAAGGGGAAAAAAACATCGCCCCTAGAAACGCACTGTTGATAAAGAGGGATCCTGGATCTCCTGGGGCAGCACAGGGGCAAGGCTGGCAGGGTGATGGGGTGGCCCAGAGGTAGGATCGTAAGGGGCTGCAGCTCTGACTTCAACAATGACAAAGTCCGTCTTGTCCTTTCCTGACTGTCAGTGATGCAGCCGATCTGGTGGTACAAGGCAGAGGGAAGTTCGAGGAGCTGATGGTGTGTTCCCATGAAATCGCTGCTAGCACAGCCCAGCTCGTGGCTGCATCCAAGGTATGACCCATGTCGGACTCCCCGGGATACTACGAGGCCTGGCTAGGTTAGGGATACTTGGACTAAGGAGCAGCTCCAGGAACAGATGGTTTATCCAGGGACCAGTGGGTTATGTCCCAAATTAAAATTCTGATTCTCAAGGGTCCCCTACCACCTCTCCCTGAAAGCCTTTCATCTGTCAGCAACAAGCCCTTCTACCCAGCTCACAACATATTCTCCTCCTGGTTGTCTTCACTTGGTTACAAGGGGCCTCTGAGGGTCCCAATGGTGCCAACCTCTGATAAGCAATCGCAGCATTCCAGGAGCTCTCAAATAAGGAAGGAGTTGGAGCAGCCGGGTGCAGGCCTTCCACAGCCAGCGTTGGCCTCTCCTCAAGCATCTCCAGATTTGAACCATTGCCCAACTAATCCTAATGCAAAAGCTTGTCACCAAAATCCTTCCGTGAGTTTTATAGTATCCCGGGGAAGTGTTCTCTTATCATCCTTATTCATTTTTATCTCAAATCAGTTTTCACAATGGGAACACTTCAACAAAATACCAGATAAAGCTGGAGTTTGAGGCCCTCAAACAAGCAGATAAGCCAGGGATCATCTCTTAGATTAACGACGTGCCAGGAGCTGAGCCCCCAGGCAGCAGTCTCGGAGAGGCTGACGGTAACTGCAGTGGATCCACGTCCAGTTGTCAGGAACCGTCGGTCCGGCTCTGACTCAGTCCTTGCCACCACTCTGTGTCGTGTGAACCTAGACATGCTTGGTTCCGGCAGGTGAAAGCTGACAAGGACAGCCCAAACCTGGCCCAGCTGCAGCACGCCTCCCGCGGGGTGAGCCAGGCCACTGCTGCAGTCGTGGCCTCGACCATTTCTGGCAAATCACAGATTGAGGAAACAGGTAGCCTTTCAGAAGCATTGCTTTTTCTTACCCATCCAATTTAGCTATTCTCTACATTCTCTGTGATCCCAATTTCCCACAGGTCTGTTTTCAAACTCTTTACTTTCCATCTTTTTGCATAAATACTTATTTTCCCATAAGAAGGGACACTGCACAAGCATGCTGTTCATATCACTACAGTGACATACCTTTAGATAGATTTTCCATTTATCCATTTCTCTGAATTCAAAGAAATGCGTCTACAGGCCTGGCTGCCTGGTGGGGAGGGTGGAGGGTGGGAGTTCTGACCCTGATTACCTGTCACTGCGTCTTTCTTCCTGTCCATCCCCTGCAATGGGCACACACATGCTAGTAAATAGCAAACCAAGCATTTCATTAGAGCATTGGCATCGGCCACCTCCTAGGCGGGACTCAGCCTGGGGTATTATCTGACAAGAATTTCTCGCTTCCATCCTGGCAGACAACATGGACTTCTCCAGTATGACGCTGACCCAGATCAAACGCCAGGAGATGGACTCCCAGGTACGAACTCCTTCTCTAAGTCTAGCCAGTTTTATGACTTATGATAACAATCCCAAATATTATTCCCATCGTGAGAAGCCAGTGAGAGAGAGACTTGGAGGGGAATGAACTCAGATGTACCTTTTGGCCCAAGAATAAATGGTGCTGGAAGAGGCAGTGGACGGGAAGCAGGTCGATTACTAACGATGAGAATCTTAACTCTTGCCCACTAGCCTTGGACTTGTGTCCCCGAACCTGACATCCTTCTCCTAGAATTACTAGTCATCAGTCCTGGGGTAAAGTCCACATTAAAACTTAAAAATCTATGGATGGATCCCAAAGGAGGTATCTTATTGGAAAGTGATGTGGTGAGATTTCTGTGTAAACATTGAAAAAACAGCTCAAGCCTGAGTCTCCTCTACCTACACTCTCTTGTTTAGTGGTCTCAACCAATCCCTCTTGACTTTAAATACCACCGGTGTGCTGATGAACACCAGTTGCTCTCCCCGGCCTCCATCTCCCTGAGCTCTGCACTTGTACAGCCGCTGACATGCCATCTCCATTTGATGTTCAGTAAGCGTCTCAGACTTAATCTCCAAAACAGGGTCTTGGTTTCCCTCTTCCCTGGTTCTGTCTCAGTAAATGGCATCACCACCACCCACCCGGGTGCTGAGCCCCAAATCTAGCAGTCATCCTTGGTTCTTGTCTCCCTGGCCCTCTACACCCAGTGCAGGGAAGGTCTTGTCAACTCAAAATCTCCAAATGATAGCCTCGATCAACCTTCCGAGTATTTTCCACCTCCCTGACCTAGTCTAAGCTGCCATCGTCTCCCTCCTGAGCTACTGCAAAAGCAGCTTAACCATAATATATATGCGTCTGTCTTTCACAATAACCCTGTGCTGGGGCCAGTGGATAGTGGGAGGGAGAGCAGGGACAAATATTGCTGAGCCAAGCGGGGCCGTGAGTTGACGGATGGACAGTGGAACCAGGTGGAAGGCACATGATGGGGTTTGTTGCACCAGTCTCCATCCTTCTGTATTTGTTTCACATTTCCCATAATAAAAAGTTTAAAATGCTTGTTTTAAACTTTTAAAAAAAAGGAAGCATCTAACTGGGCCTACTTATTTCCACCTTTGCCCCTCTAAAGTTCGCTCATTCTCCACACATTTTAAAAACATAAGTGACAGCATGTTACTTCCCCACTTGAAATCTTCCAATGGCTTCTCTTGTACTTAGAGTAACATCCACATTTCCGACCCCGGCCTGTGTGGGTAGCATGATCCGTACCTGCTTCTCCAGCCTCCTCTCATGGCCCTCGCCCGCTCCCACGCGTCAGTCTTCCTGTTCTCCCACACCTCGAGCCCACTCCTGCCTTAAAGTCCGCTTCCTTGACTGGAATATTGTCCCCCAGTAATCTGAATAGCTGATCTCCTATGGTCATTTAGGTTTCAGCTCCAAAGCTATTTCATTTTCTGACCATCCTTGGTATTGATCCCATCACCTTGTGTCATTTTCTTGACGATCTGACCTTTTCTTCTTTGCTAGTTTGTCTCTTCCCCTGGCAAGGTAAGCAGGGACCTCATCTGTAGATGCACCACTGTGTGTGTCTTCAGCACCTACAGCAAGGCCTGGGTTGCATGATGGGTGCTCAGCAAATATTTCTCAAATAATTAATAACTAAAATTAATGAGGAGTACAGACAGACAAAAGCAACTCACCTTTAGTGAGATCATGCCTGTATAATAATAACCCCAAGTTGCACCAACCCCTCAGAGACGCCAGAACCATCATATTTGGTTCCTGCCTCAACTCCCAGGGAAATGGGCTCGAAGGGTTATGACTGGATAAGCCAAACATTGCAGTTGTTTTTAGACGGTGATTTATCAGAAGAAATTAAGATAAGCTCTAACTCCCTTTCAGGCTTTTGGACTATAAGGCATCATTCATTTCTAGTAGAGGGTCCTAGTGAAAAGACAGGTGGAACAGAGAAATGAATGAGAGGGCAGAGAAATTAGAGCAGAGATGAGGTTGAGAACTGGGTGAGCTATGGAATAATGTGGAAGAAAACAGGAACATGGAGAGAAGGGAATGGGTCAAAATAAGACAGTTCTCAGATTGCTGCTCAAAAGAAAATTCCACTTTCCCCACAGGTTAGGGTTCTGGAACTAGAAAATGAACTGCAGAAGGAGCGTCAGAAACTGGGAGAGCTTCGAAAAAAGCACTACGAGCTGGCCGGCGTTGCGGAGGGCTGGGAAGAAGGTAAGCCTCTCTGAGGACTTGCACTAGCCCACGGGGGGGGGGGGGGGGGCCATGTGGGGAGAGCTTTCCCTGGAATGTAACACAATGAGTAGCCCTTTGTGCTTCTCATTGGAAGGTCAGTGACTTTCCTACTTTCTCTGTACTCACAGAGCATGTTTTCGGTTATAAATAACCTATAAGCCCCAAACCGGGATAAATTGTGAATTGAAAGCTTTCGTTGTCACCTTTCAAGATCTTAATGTTGACCAGTGGTAACAGTGACTGGTTTGCGCTCCAGGAGTTTAGTGTGTGGCCAGCCTGGAGTTGAACAGGGAATGAATGAATCATCGTCAGGGAAGATCCAGCAGCCAAGGGCAAATGAATTACAAGGCCCTGACTGTAGAGCCAGCCATGGCAGCAACAGCCAAAAGATAGGAAGGGTCAGGAGCTAGGAATAGCATGGAGCAAGTCATGTTTGGCTCACCAGCCCAGAGACCCTCTGTTGCTCGGACTCTTGAGTGCTGCTTTTCCACATGTCCATGGTGACCAACTTGATTACAACCAAGATGGCTGATTCTTGTTAGACTTGGCTGGCTCTCATGTAACCCAGTCATTTCTGGACATGTTACTTAGGGACTGGATGATTACAATGATCATGTTCTTTAGAGCCCAACATGGTGGCAGTTTTGACTAACTGAATGTGTGCATGCAGGAGGAGGTATGAAACATGAATGGTTGTTGCTGTCTTTTAGGAACAGAAGCATCTCCACCTGCACTGCAAGAAGCAGTAACCGAAAAAGAATAGAGCCGCACCGACACCCCACACGTCACAGTGTAAATCTCGATTGGCCCTTTTGTGTGCGTTATTCCCCACCACAGACTGAACCCCTGGAGTTGCAGCGGTGGCCACACCACTCCCATTGTCCAGTGCTCAGGACCTGCATGGCCTTCCAAAGACTCCCTCCACAGTGATGCCCTTTGTGTCAGAACCCGTGATCTGTGTTCTTTCCCCACCTCCCTGGTATCCAGAGAGGATGGGAATAGGGCCACCCCCACAGAGAAGACTTCCCTCCCAGTCCTTCCTGTGGTTTTAGCCTTAAACAATTGGTGTCCTTGTCCTAGGGGCTGTGGTGGCTGTGGTGGCTGTGGTTGAGGGCCTGCGGAGGGAAGGTCTTATGCATTTTCTTTTCTCTTTTCTTCTCAGTCTTTTCAGTTTCATCACTTGCACAAACTTGTGAGCATCAGAGGGCTGGTGGATTCCAAAGCAGGACACTACCCTGGGTCTGTGCAGAGTCAGAAGGACAGGAGGAGTGTCCTGGCTGAGAATGCCAAGGCAGCACTCCCCCTCTTTTTGGCAGTTCCATGGATTCCCACTTGCTGCTTATGGTGATTGGTTGGGTTTGGGGTTTTCTTTTTTCAAGTTTCGCTCACATAGCCAACTCTCCCAAAGGGAACACCCCTGAGGCTCTGAGCTCCCAGGAGCCCCTGACCACAGCAGTTAACAGCAACGGTGCTGCTCAGGCTCTACCTTGGTGCTCCCATCAGCCTCCATGCTGAGTATCCTGCTGAGTGTGGGTCAGCTGAGGCCACTCCCCAGGGTCGGGCGGAGCTGCTGAGCCACAGCTTTCCTCCAAAGGCAGAAGTGGAGGGAGTGCCTTTCCTTCCCAAAGCTGGAGCCCAGCTGAAAGCCTCTGCCCACCTTCACAAATGAAAAGGCCACAGAAAGAGGGAAAGGAGGGGTACACACAGCCCAGGTCTTCAGGAGACGCCTTTCTTGGGAACTCCTTGTGACCAGGCTGGAAAACCTTATCCCATGCTTGAATGGAGCTGGTGAGATAGCCACACCTCTTTCCCCAGAATGAATTTTCCTTGGCACCTCCCTTCAGACCCAGGCAGGGCCCCAAGAGGGAGTTTGTGAGGGGTTTTCAATTCCTTTCTCCAAATGTCTGCCTGCCTTTGGTATCCTCTTGAATCTGAAGAAGCTAGTTCCATGTTCTACCTAATGACCAACCCAGAAGATCAGGCAAACTTTCTCCCAGTAGGAAAGAACCCTGTGCTTGGCTAGGTTCCTTTAATATTTATTACTAACCTCCATTAAGCAGCAGCAGCAGCAGCCTACAAAAAGACGCTTGGAGCAATCAGGATTTCCGGTGTGACTATAACAAGGCTTGCATTGCTGCCCTGTACATCAGTCTTCAAGAATCGGAAACAAGGCCAAGATGCCATCCCAGTTTGTCACCGGTTTGGATCATGAAGCAAGCAAGGCTCCTCAGAGTTTCTGGGGCAGGGAAAACAAAAGGGGGAGCGTGGCTCCGTTCCATTCTAGCCACATGTCCCAGGCCCTCACTGCCCTGTGGACAGGATGAGGGTATGTCAATACCCTTATAGAGACGGGCAGCCCGGCAGCACTCCTCCACCTCCAGATGGACCCCAGCATTCAAGTGACCTTTCGATCTTGGACAAACAATGTCTTCCTTATCTGTAGCAACTCATAGGTAGCAGCCAACAAGCACTTCCCAGGACCTGTCCCGAAGGAACATTGTACATGTGGCTTGTGACAGGTTGTGAGACTCCTATTTGATCACTGTGAATCAACCCCCTCCCTCCTCCCTAAACATCCCCCAGACTCTGTCTCTGCGTTCTCTAAGTAGGGCGCTCAAAAAACTGTCTCCCTGTAGCTCAGATGATGAGACTCAGATGTGTGATCTCCACTGCAGGCTAAAGAGGGTTCAGTAGAAACAGGGTGCTCACGTTTAGCGCTTCTTCGTGCTCAGCGTTTTCCCATCCGACGCTCAGGAGTGGTGTGCGGCATCCCGGGCCCACTTGTGCCAATTAAGCCAATCAGTGTAGATCAGTATTTCCAAAGGTGGTTAGTCCTCATTTTCAGAATCTCATCCGTTCAAACAGTTGGGGTCACCAGTTGGGGGGAAAGTCTAGAAGTATACTGGGCCAGATTAGGACTGAAAATCACTCCCTCTTGAAAAGAAGCCACAATAATTTAAAAAATCTTCATGGGTTTAGCCAGTAATGAAGCCATGAAGAAAGCACTTGAAATGGAGCACAGGCTCCATCAGTCTTGTGTGAGGCAGTACCTGTCACGTAATTCCGTCCACCGTTGCTCAGGTTCAAAGCTAGCCCATTCTCTAGCCAGAATCAAATCGCCCTGTCTTGGCTCTTCTAAGAATGAGTGTGATACACCTTGATGAAAACAAATCATATCCTGAGGCTAAAAGTGAACCTCACAGCCTTTTAAATTAGTCACCGAGCGTCATCAGAGACTGGAGTCTCATGGGTCAGTGTAAATGGGTCATGAGAGGACAGCAGCAAAAGGCTGGCTTGAGATTGGCCAGAGGCTGAAAGGCAGCCACATCTGTTGTTTAATTTTGTAATATGGTGCTCTAATACTCTAGAATAAGGATGTGTGTGTACATAATAAGGAAAAAAAAAGACCTTTTGTGGGGTTATTTTATATCTGGACAAGGAGTTTAAATTAGACTATAGTTGAGATTGGTCCCTAGGATCCCACCTAAATATGAGTCCCTATCGCTGTGGCCAGAATTCAAAACATTGCCCAGGGCATTCTTTCTTGGAAGTGTTTGAGCTGTTGCATCAGACGCCAAGTACCACAGGGTCACAGGTGCATGTTTTTGGGTCGGGTTGCTATGCTTGGACTCCGGGAGCTGGCCCTGAGTTTGCACCCAGGAAGTGCTCACTTGTTGCCAGCTCCTCAGTCTAGAGCAGCAGTTTCTCAGCCGGCATGCCGTAAGAATTTTTAAAATGGGCAATACCTGACTAGCCCTCTTTTCCCTTAGATTGTCATATTAAAAAATGACAACAGCCAACACAGCAATAGCTGACTGGTGTGGATGCCCTCACTTGAACCATAAATAGGGTTGCATCTTATTGGTCACATCGCATAATGTTGCATCTTCAGTTCTTGGTACCAGAAATCCTTATACACAAGTCTGGCACTGCATCTGATTTTCTAAAGTCACTTTGGAGCAAAAAGAGTAGGTAATTACTTTTCAGGGGGGTGGGGATAAATCAAAATTATACCTATTTTTTGTCAGATGAGCAAAAAATATATTTTTTGGTGTGTTGCAGAATTTTAGTAGCTTATGTGTGCCACGAGATGAAAAAGGTTGAAAATCACTGGTCTAGAGGGGTCCTCTGGCTCCACTTACCCTGGTCTTGAATTACTTGTAAAGTTCTTGCCACCTTCTGCCACCTTTCCAAACCTCTGAAATCCCTCTTGCCAACGGAAGCCTTCAGTGCTGGCATTGGCCTGCGACCAGATCAGCGTTGCCCTCTCCCCACACCGTCTGCCGGAGACCGCACTGCCTGCCATATAGACCACCACCACCACAGGCCTGCGGGCCCTCGGCTCAAGTCCATGGTCTCCCGGGTGCAGACCAAATAAGGATCAGCAACCCACAGTGGTGGCCCAGCCTTTCACCCCAGGAGCCAAAGCAACATGAAACCATTGGTTAGATGCCATTGGGTTCGATTCTGAGAGTAGATCATTTCCAGACAGATCTTTCAGGTGACCCTCAACTACCTCAGGTTTGAAGGCCCTAAATTAAGCTGATTATTCATAGGGACAAACCGAGGGGGTTCAGGTAAATCTTGGTGATAACACAATTGTCTCTAACTTTTAACTCTTTCACACTTAGGTTTGCAGGGATGGGGTTGGGTTTGTTTTTCTTTTCTGTTTTTAACCTTTCCCCCAGTTTTCCATTAGAATAGTTCTTATAAATGAATTTCATTTTTCACGGAGTGCCTACCTTCCCAGGGCAGGTAGCCACTGGCTTTTGTTCCCTTCCAACGATACTTTTATTATGGTATTAAGACCTTTCTTTGTACAAAACGTTGCATCTGTGTTTTCAATTTTTCAAATAAATATTTCAACCTGGCGATGGAGAGTAGCAGTGATAACTGACCAAACAAAGTGGTTTTAAGGTCATGGGTTCATTAAATCCACTTAAGCTCTGCATCTCTGGGAATATGTCCAAGACACATTTTCTGAAGCACTGGACTTCTGTTGCATGCCCTTTGCTGTTGTAGAGAAACTAGGTTGTGCCGTCCTCCGTACACTCGCCTCTCCCTGAGAATGATCGAAGTGCCAAAGTGGTCAGCACTATAATTGATCTGGAAGACCAGGTCTCTGCATAAAACCTGGGGCCTTAGGCTATAGATATGCCCTCCTCTGCCTTCAAGATGTAAAAGTAAACTACTGCCTTAACATCAGTGGCACAGACTTTGCTCATGGACAGAAGCTGCCAATCATGAGAAGATTCAGAGCCAACCAGTCACAGCTACCAGAGGATTTTTCAGAGGAATCTGACAGACTGGGGCTGGGTGTCCCTGGCAAGATTGTCTGCAACTTTAGGCTTGCCAGTATGTTAAGCCAAGGGGACCTGTAGGGAGGAGCTGGTCAGGTGGGTGGAGGCAAGACCTGGGGTTGGTCAGCAGAGAATGATGCAAATAATTAGAAGCAATAGAGTATATGGAGGTCAAAGAACCCGGGGAGGGCGGGGAGGGTGAGGAAAATAGTGTGGAAATCCCCCAGTAGGGAAGATGATCTGGTTAAACACAGAAGATGGGGAACACTTGCCTATGGCTGGGCTTTCTCACCATAGCAGAATGCAAAGGTGAACCTGCTCCATTTGAAGTGTCACTGATAGGCTGGGCACTTCAAGGTTACAGCTGTCTTGCAGATCAAGTGTGAGAGTCTAGAAAGCCAGACAGGTGACTGCCTTGAGCACACGGGGCCTCCATGCTTTGAAGTGTCTGGGGCGTGGGTCTGGCCTGGGCCAGCAGTGCCTTTCTCCCCTTCCAGATGTACTCCAGTCCTCAATGGCCCCCTGCACCTGCACATGGCCTTGACCAGTTGCCCCTAAGGCTCTGGTGCTCATGCCTGAGTGGTCTTCCTGGGGTCCCGTGGCTTGCTCCACAGTTCTAGAAAGGCAGCCCAGCTAACTGACCACTCTGGCTATTATAAGTAGTCCTGAAATCAGGCTGCCAACATGATACATGCCATAACAAAGGGGTTGGGGAGGGGGCCAAATTCATTTAGGGGCTAGGGGTGGCCCTGCCAAAGTAAAAGGGAATAAAGCATTGAAATGGGTGAGCAGAAGAGAGCCCAGATGAAATCTAAGCCAAGGGCTCATATAAGAAGCATACTATGCACTATTGTGACTTAAGGCCAATAAGTTCATCCTGCTCACCATGGCTGTCCTCAGTCTTAAACTCACTGCCCTGGAGTACAGTACAGGCCTTTAAACATTGCAGAGTGAATGAATGCTCTCTTTACAATGCATTCTTAGCTTTACATATATTTTATGCATCCATTCATTGTGCCGGCACTGAGATTTTCAAAGATGAAGATTCCTCAAAAGTTGCACTCATGTATTCATGATTATCACATGTCTGCTTTTATCAGGCACTGGAGGTGCAGTGGAGAGCAAAATAGACAAGATCCTGGACATCTAGAGCTTACAGGCTATTGAAGGAAACAATGAGGATAATCCATCACAAAAGCGAGTGTGTAACGGATTGGAGTAAGTGAAGAAAGGAACATGATAGCATGCTCTGAACATATAAGGAGGGTCAGAGAAAACCTTTCTTGATAGTGGTAGCTGAACTAAGATTAAGATGGAGAGTGTGAAGAGGCTGACTGGCTCTGATGCGTCACTAAAGGGACTGAAAGGCCAGTGTAGCTGGAGCCCAAGCAGAGTGCCACACAGTGAGTCTGGGCAAAGGCGGGAGCAGCTCATGCAAACGTGGGAAACTGTTGATGGGCTTTAGGCAAAGGACGCTCAAGACCATATTTGCATTTTGAAAAGACTGTTCCAGTGCAGTGCGGAAAACATGAGAATGGAGCAAGAGTTAATGGGAAATCCAATAATGCTAAGAAGCTTTCATTTTGTTCCACAGAGTAGCAAGCTATTGACCAGTCTTAGGTAGGAGGACAGGGTACCTCTCATCCTCACCTCCTGTGTTCACTGGTCAGACTGGCCAACTGAAAACACCTCTTTCTGCAGGCTGACACATCGTCACCCCGCAGGATCTTTCCCAGCCCTCTCAGCTTTTCACCTGCAGTCCATTAAGTCTGCGTCAGGCCACCTCACGGGGCACACAGGCTCTGTAGCCCTTCTTCCTCCATCCATGTGCACCATGGGCTCTTTCCGAGGCAAAATGGAGCCTAAATGTCGCTGACGACACAGCAGTACTGTTTTCTAGAGAAAGGGTTGTTTCTAAGTTAAATATCTCCGGATGTTGGCCTCCTAAGCTAAATGTCTCCTATTAGTTACATTTTGTCCTTACACAACCAACGTTCGCAATCAAGTCTGAAAACTAAGTTGTATTTGATTTCTTTTGAAAAGACTAAGATTACAACAGGTATGTCCTCTTGAGTCATGCCAATTCAGCAAACATTGCTGAGTTCATATTGTGCACAAGAGACTGGGAAAGAGAAAAGTAAGCAAAATATGGTTCCTTCTTTAAGGATCTTCCATGCTTGGAAGGGAAACAGACACGTATGTTAGAAAGTGAAGTATACACAAGCAGGGAATGAAACACCATTTCAAGAAATCTAGTAGTAAAGGGAAAGGCAGAAATCAGGCAATAACTTCATAAAGCAATGGCATCAAGGAAAGGAGAAAGATGTAAGAATGCTTCAAGGCTGAAAAGTCAGAGGAGGTAGGAATTGAAGTATGACAGAAATGAGAGGTATGCTGAAGCAGATTCCTTGAGATGCAAATTCATTCATTCCTCCCACCAATTCTTTTTTTTTTTTAAGTATTTATTTATTTATCTTTAGAGAGGAAGGGAAGGAGAGAGGGAGAGAAATATCAATGTATGGTTGCCTCTTGTGCGTCCACTGCTGGGAACTGGCCTGCAACCCAGGCATGTGCCCTGACTGGGAATCGAACCACAGTTGTTTGGTTCACAGGCTCGTGCTCAATCCACTGAGCTACACCAGGCAGGGCCCACCAATTCTTATTCAATGTTTACCATGTTTAAGGCACAGGGATACAGTGCCAGGGACACTGTATCCTTCTAGAGTGGGTAGTCCGGTGGCACAACTGACACTGAACGAGTGTAAGGCATGACCCAAAGGGTGCAGGCAAAGGAAGGCATGGCAAGGGAACGAGTGCATTCAAGGAGGCCAGGGCAAGCGTCCATGAAGGAATGACATTAAGGTTAAAACCTGAAGAATAAGTAGAAGTTGGTAGGGAGAAGAGCGAGGTGAAGCATATAGTCATGCCTTGGTGCCCGTTGGCTTCAGAATTCATCAAACCCACTTGGCGCTTGCTCAGGACCTGTGGCATTTGCTAGACCTTGTATGAGTCACGACACCGCCCCCCAAGAGAAAATTCTTCATCATTTGTTACTCATCAGTTTCAGCACTCAACACAAGTCCTGGAATGAATTAACAATGAGTACCAAGGTACCACTGTACTTCAGGCAATGTTGATAGCAATGAGAGTTTGGCACATTGAAGAATGACAGCAGCCCTGTCCCTTATGGGTGACCGATTTAAGGGCCAAATTGTAGAAAGCCTTGAGTGCCATTTGAAGGATTTGGGGCTTTATGCTTGGGATTTTAAGCAGGAGTGTGATAATAACACCAGCTATCACCTCATCTAAATAGCTTCAGTGGCCTCCTAAATCTTACACCTAAGCCAACTCTGCCCTCTGCCAAGCCTTTCTCAGTTTTCAGCTACTATAATCATTCCCGAAGTCACATCTGATCTTGTTACCCTCTCTCCCTTCCTTAAAAACTTTCAATGTTTCGATGGAAAATTATAGTACAACCTTGTGGATATTAAATTCTAGTCCTCTTCATCATCTTTAAGGTTTCATTATCTATTTATAAATGGAACCAGATCCTAAATTTCTCTAGTTTCCTCCCATGTCTGGGTACAACTCTCCAAACTAACAATTCCATTTTTTCTCCCACCCTTCTGATTTGAAATCGCTGAAAACTGAAACTTCCCTTTTCCCAAAGCACTTCAAATTGAAGCCAGGTGACTGGGTATAAACCTCAGAGAAATCATCTTAATAGCTCACGCAAAGACAACCCTCTTGCCTTTCTGAGTGGGACACTCAGAACATGTACCAAAACACCTGATGGCATCAACAGAGACGTTCACACTGAAAACCAGGCCAGTCTGTCAAAGAGCCACTGCCTGTCCTCGCTCCATCTGTCTGACATCTAGAAATCTTCTTGACTGCCCTCTGAACTCAAACACTGAATTTATAGCTTGTTCCAACCATTTGCCTTTCAACCATTAGCCTTTGTTTTTATTTCCATCGAAATGCTTCTTATTAATGCCTGATTGCTTACATCATATAGAAGCCTAACTTTGGCGGGAGCTCCCCTGCAAAACTGCCTCCTGAAATAAGATACAGCTGGTTTTCTGGACAGACCTATTTCCAAGCCTGAGAGACTGGATCAGTGGGTTATGGGACAATCTACCAACTCAGTTTCTGGATTATGAAACTTCTTGGGGAGATTTCAGACAGGTGATACAGGGTCCAGGACATGCTACCCCAAAGTATGGTACTCTGGCATACTGAATATTTTATGGTGAAGGAATCTGAGAAAAAAATGCACTGGAAGGACTCTCAGACCTTCCCCTAAGCAGATCATAAAGCCCTCGTGTGAGAAGTATACTCCCCGGAGGAAAGGAGCATCTTTATCTCCTAGTCGGAGGGATGCTATGCTGAGAGGAAGCTGCACAGATGGGCCTTCCTTGCCATTGCCCCGAGTTTACTACACTCACCTCACACCCTTTTTTGTACTATCATTTTCCCATACCTCCCCACTTTTTATCAAACCTAGCACAACAATTTATTCAGGTTTAACTGCTTCTTTGGGTCCTTTCCTTATGAGGGTTCCCATGTCACACAAAA